AGCGACGTCACGATGCATGTCAGTTGTCATCGCCTCGTACAGCCTCTTACAGTAAACTACACCGTTGCATCCCGTTTCTTGGTTTGCAGTTGCTTCACTCACCTAACATCACTGGTGGAAACATTACATTTATGTTTTCTGACGTTTTAAATGTCTCAATTCGACTCGCAAGTTTTCAGCGACACGGTAACGTTCGCAATGTTTACATTCCCACAATGCAATCGTGGAATGTCGCTAGACTACTCAGTTTCGTCTGGATGTACTGATCTAAACATACGTTGGTAGTAGAAATGCGACGTTCACATGGTTTACGTTAATCACAGATGTAATTAAAATACTTTAGAGAAGATATTTAATCCGAACGTAAACCGTCATGAAACTGTTTATCATTTGTTTTTCTGGTAACGTTCGTCTTAGCGTAGGGGGGCAGACACATCAATAGAACAGCGTGCCAGTAAGCCCTGTGCGAGGATTCTTAATTTAGGTCACCGACACCGTCGTTTGTTTTCTGCCTTAAATTAATCGTAATTATCTTTAGAAAGTATTACGCAAGCGTCCTCGTGCTTTAACTATAATAGTTCAGGGCAAAAGTGTGTTTTATTACACTATACATGGTGGTAGAGCGAACTGTATTTCTTAATTCTAAGATGCTTCGGTGAAAGATCAAAGGTGCCGACAGTACTTTATTTAAGAAATAAAGTTCGCTCTACCCCAATGTGTTTTGTAATAAAGTATAGTTTTGCCCTGAACTATTATAACATTAAAGCACTCGGATTACCGTCTTCGTGCTTTAATTATAATAGTTCAGGGCAAAACTATACTTTATTACAAAACACATTGGGGTAGAGCGAACTTTACATCTTTTCTAAGATGCTAAATTTAATACTTTCTAAGGATAATTACGATTAATTTAAGGTAGAAAACAAATGACGGTGTCGGTGACCTAAATTAAGAATCCTCGCACAGGGCTAACTGGTGCGCTGTTCTATTGATGTGTCTGCCCCCCCTACGTTAAGACGAACGTTACCAGAATAAACAAATGATAACAGTTTGATGACGGTTTACGTTCGGATTAAATATCTTCTCTGAATTATTTTAATTACATCTGTCCTTAACGTAAACCATATTGGGCAATATGAACGTTGCATTTCTACTATCAGCGTAAGTTTAGATCAGTACATCCAGAGGAAGTTGAGTAGTCAAGCGACATTCCACGATTGCATTGTGGGAATGTAAACATTGCGAACGTTACCGTGTCGCTGAAAACTTGTGAGTCGAATTGACACATTTTAACCGTCGTAAAACATAAACGTAATGTTTCCACCAGTGATGTTAGGTGCGTGAAGCAACTGCAAACCAAGAAACGGGATGCAACGGTGTAGTTTACTGTAGGAGGCCGTACGAGGCGATGACAACTGACATGCATCGTGACGTCACTTACATTGTGACGTAATGTAAAATAATTCGATTACGAAGGGGCACACTAGAATGGCGCAGTGACGGGATAACGTCATTCAATTGTTACGTCATCAAAAAACTATACCTTTATTGTCTGATAATGTATTTTTTTTTCGATTGTTCTAACCGCTAGGCATCTTAGAATGGTTAATATAAAGTCATTCAGAGGTATATATAATAACGTTATACAGGTCTCTGATTTTCCGTGCGCAATCATACATGGTTTACGGTAATGCACTATTTTTGTCTGCCCACCAACATGGCGGACACCAACAACCTACCGATGCATCGATAAATTACGGCGATTTTGCTGTCGGAAATTACACATATGTCTTTAAAGATGGATTTAGCGATGACGGGCTCGACTCACTACTTGCGTAAATCACAGCAATAGGTGTTTATACATACAAAAGTACTTCGAAAGCATGGAAACAAATATTCAGTCGAACAAGATCAAAACATCGTCTGCTTTCCGAATAAAAATTCAGCAAAAACAAATATGTTTACGTTGATTCTATGTTATGTAAGAATAGATCCAGCAATAGACTGCTACATAATTTCCGTGTTAAATTTATTATCAGCTTTCGTCAACGATATCGCCACTGATCTTGATCCGGTAACGGAGGATGCATTAACATCGAACGCCGAAGAAATTTTAATGCCTTGCGTCCACATAAATAAACAGTTGGGTTATCAATTCAAACAAAATGATATTTTGAAATTTGTACTGTTTCAAATTTAGCGGTAGTAAAACACAATTACCCAACATATTTTTTTTCCGGCCTAAAAGTATAGTATCGTTGAAAAAGTTATTTAGCTTAGTCATGATCCCTCTTATCCATTACACTGATTGATCTAAAGTAGTCTATTAAAGTATAATTAATTACCTTACCGTGTTTATGCCAGAGGTACACCCTCATGTCCTAATCCATCCTTTCGGAAATATCACCACAAATCTGGCTCTTTGTCAACAGACTCGCGAACATGCCAGCGAATCCGATTCAATTTGAATTCACTACAATTTGAAGCCACTAGGTCACAAAACACTTTCCAAAATGTAGAAAATAATATCCGTAGAATCGAATTTGAGCACAAAGTACACACATGAGTGTGTAAGAGTCGCCACAGCTGTCGCATGCAGACGTAGAAGTGCGTGAAATCGTCAAGTCGTATCTAAATCATGTTTTAACAAAATAACGGTACAACACGGACCAGCAGCATCTACTTTCTTAAATTTTGTTACAGTAATTTATCAAAGACAGGGCGCAAAATTCAACAGTATCTAAATTCGGTACAACACGGACTTCTCGTTACAGCAAAAGCGCCTCTACTTCTTAAATTTTGTACCAGTACCAGTAATTAGATATCAAAGACTATCTCAGTCATACAATCAGGTTAACCTTGCGCAAACTGTCAGAGGCTCTCCTGTCGCATCTTTCCAAATTTGCACGTAAATGTAAACAATGACTTCTGAGAAAAGGTCAAGGCCATGAGGTTGCTGCCATTATTCTGGTGGGGAAAGGGTCTACGGTGGAATTTTCAAATGTGAACCAAGCTTTTTAAACTTTTTTTATATATGTTTTCCAACTTATCAGTTAATGATTGGTGATTGATGCATTGAAAAAACAAAACGTGATTTGTTATTACTGAATCTGGAGTTTGTTAGTCATTGACGATTTGCCACCAATCACCCCGTTTCGGGCGATGCCACTTGAGATTGGAATGCGAGGCCGCTTCACGCTTCGTAACGAAAGAAAGAGCTCCACCTGAAATTGTTCATAACATTGTCATGGTAGAATGGAGATAAACCTACTGTGTTGGAAAATCAGAGGTATAACGTTATAACAAAATTATAATAGCTCTAAATTGTTCATTTAAACCTCACGCTACGCGTTCGGTTTTAAATGAAATTTAGAGCTATTATAATTTCGTTATATACCTCTGATTTTCCCACACAGTAGGTTTATCTCCTAATTGAACATCTTTGGGATGAAATTCAGAGGAGACTGAATAATGTTATACCAAGGCCGAACACAGCCCATTTATTGCGCCAGGCCTTTCTCAGAGTGTGGTTCCAGGTGCCAATGGCCTTCATCAATCGATTGGTGCACTCCATGCATAGACGCTGTGCTTCAGTTATTGCCGCTCGTGGTGGTCACACTAGATACTGAAGTCAAGAGTCTGAATGGACTCCAAACGTTCAAGGGACAATGATGTGGTTTCAGGGACTGTGAGACATACTAAACCCTCCTCAGCCGCCTGGGTTTTACTTTCAACCAGTGTTCTCGTAATGTCTTGGCATTGTGCTGAGTTATTCATTGATGTGTCAAGATATTGTACACAAAAAATGTTTTTGATCTGCTTATTATGTCTATTTCTGTAATGATTTGATTACAGTGCCTATCTAATTTTGAATTCGTACTGACGTTTTTGTTTGCTGCTGAGTATATATATTCCAACACAAAGACCCACAGCTTTTGTTTTCTGCAGGTCCTTATGGCCGACAGCTTTTTCATCCCCAATAACTAAGAGTATTATTTCCATATTAAACTATAGAGCCTACACATTTGATCAGGACCCACAACTTTTTATGGTTCTGGGTCCTTAGGGTCCTGCAGCTTTTCAGGGTTGAGGGCAAACACTGTGGGGAATCGAACCCGGGTCTTCGGCGTGACGAGCGAACGCTTTAAATAACCAGTAGGCTACCCCACCGCCCCTGGTTTCACAGAATATTATCCATAAATACTGGAAGTGGCTATGTATGTTTATTCACATACATATATATCAGTTTTTTTAGATATCATTTACACATCAAAAACAATTATTTTTCTTGTAAGGTATGCATTCAGTCGTACTTCATTTTCAGTGTGAAACGTTTTACGTGTGTATCTGGGGAAAACATATTCCAACAAGTCAGTACATTTTCATAGAATTTACTCAAATAAATATTTAACCACTGGACAGTGTTTAAAGTGCAAATGCGATTTTTTGAAAATAATTCCACGTAATCTTTGGACTGTCAACATTAGTGACGTGACGCTTTGCCTGAAAGCAGATGTGCGATCTCAAACAGTGAAATTGGCTAGTCCCTGTTGTAAACATGAACAGCGCCACACTAACTGTATACACTGTCTCTGGCTACAGCATCTGCTTGGTGCCAAGCCTTTCAATATCAACTCGTGTGTATGGAGCAGCCTAGCAGTTACAACTGGGGAAACAGGGTCACTGTCTTTTGGTCCCAGAGGGCACTTGGTGAAACTACACACATAACAGCAGTACTCACGATCAGAAGATCCTGGCATACCCAAGGCCGACAACTCTGCCAAGAAAATACAACGCCAGGCTTAGTGAGTTATCGGTGTCCCCAATACACAGATGAGTGAGTATGATTTAGGGCGAGCAATATCATGGCAAGGGACACCAGAAATGGGCCTCACGCATTGTACCCATATAGGCAATCGGAACCAGGTCTTCCTGTGTTGAGCGGACGTTTTAACCATTAGGCTACCCCACCACCCTAGATACAGATGAGAACACAAGGGTAAGTTTCAAGTTTTATTGATGTGATCATGACTACAGTATGGGTGTGTATCTACATTAATGAAATGAATCATTTACCACTGCACAATGCTCGTTACCTGAACACACTGGGTCTGCCATCTGTACAACAGTTTCTTAATTGCCACACCTCACCTGTTAGATTTGGAAAAATACCCATGCCCATGGAATTGCCAAACATGAAACAAATAATCACAGTTCTTTTTTTCCCGTCAATCACAACAATATATGAAACTCATTCACATATGACATAGGTATGCATAAATAGAGCTTCACTTGACAATCTGAATCATGAGGAGTCATAACAGAAAGGAGACAAGTAACGAGGACTTACCTCCAAATATTGGAGGCGAAATGGTCAACCTGACAAGCTAAATTGAAGCTCTAAACCATTGGAAAATTTTCAGAAACAAGATTACACAAACGGGCATTTTTTCAAAATATTCTAAAACTGCATCTCCTAGAAAAGTGAAAAATAGAATCAACTATTTTCAGTAATGTGTTTTCCCGGATGGATGTTTGTAAACCTTACTTTCCCATTATTTCTAAATCATGACAATAGCTGCCTAGTTGTGTTGACATTTTCTTGAGAAAAATAGACATAGTACTAATTGCTTATTTTTTTCAGTCAAAAAGCACCAAATTATGCTATCGTCAATGTGGCAGGGAATATTCAGGGTATGATGTATGTCTTGAATTAATATGGTAAGCGTCTGAATTCATAACTTAAAAACATGAATTAAATATGACCAGTGGTTTTCACATTTAAATACGAGACTGTTTAATACTAGCATGGATATTAACAATGAATAATGAGTTCAAATTTAAACTGTGAATCAATGGATTAAAATGCTTACAAAGAAAGTCTACTGAGAAGGATGAGAAACCAGTGTAAAAGCTTTGACACACTGACGACATGTACATGATATTAACAATGGCCGATGAACAGTAGTGACAGGTGTCAAGAAACCAGAAATAGACATGAGAGAGAGAGAGAGAGAGAGAAATGACAGATTAAGGTAAACATTCGTCACTAGCAGCAAAAATCAAAATACTACAAACATTCAAAATAGTGCTATTTTTTTTGTAATGCTGAAATTGATTACAAAAAATAAACCCCAAATTGACAAAATGAAACAGAAATAAAACCCACTGATGAATGAAATGTGTGACCTAGATTATTGAATATACAATGAAGGCGCACACAACAGATGACAGTAAGTAGAAAAGTGGTATGGTACAAAGCTCATATCTCCACATTATCACCAATCAAGAGATACAATACTGTCAAGTCTTCCAACTTGGACCAAAATATATGATTAGGACTATTTCAGTAAGTTTGTTTGCTTGTTGAAGTAAAACTTTATGATTAAGAGTGATAACAGTCATTCTTAAACCAGTTCATGTTTTTGCTGTAGTGTACATAGGTGAAGGTGAAACTAAATTCTACTTCAATGTAAATACTTATTGTATGTACATATTCCATCAGCAAAAGGATTTACTGATATTATTTACAGACACCAAGACAGAAATAAAATTCTTTTCGAAATTACATAAGTATGTTTCCTGATACCTCTACACAAAGGGATTGTGAGATACCAGTTCACAATGCTATGGATATAAAATGTTAAAACTATTTTTAAAAATCAATCAATACTTAGGTAATGTGTCATTAAGATAATTCTTTTCAATTCTAAAATGGTAATTAATATTGGAGAGTCAAAGTCAATTTACTAAAGGAACATTCATTGTCAATCAAACAATTAAAAGGGTGATCAGGTATTCCTTTTAAAGGAATCAATAAAAATCAGACTAGAAATGTAAAAAATCAATTTACAAATGTTTGCTGAGATTACACCCTCTACTGTCATTGACTTTCTCTTACACCTTTGACCTTGGATTCATTCAAGGCTCTGACAATCTCATTAACCAGAAGTTCCTTGTAAAGTAGTCTTAAGGCTTGAAGTTTGGATGGTGAATCCATCTGTTTTAGTGCCTTTGAGAGGCTTCGAGCGTCCATTTCGCATTTTACAGCGTAATGTCATCAAATGAAGGGCAGCTTGTTTTAGAAATTACTGTCTTCATCACTATCAAATGTGTATTTCACGGAACTCCGTGCACGGCCTGTAGTTGTTCTTGGTGCACTTGGGAAAACTTCATCTTCATCCAGGTCGAAGTCTTCTTCATCACTGGAATCCTTCTTTTTCTGAAACAGATTTTTGTCAATCTTTAAGCTTACATTCAGAAGGACTTAATACGGAAGCAATTTAATTAAAAAAAATACTGTGAGTGAGGGAGTAAGTTTAGTTTTACTCAGCTTTTAGCAATATTCCAGCTATATCACGGCAGGGGACACCAGAAATGGGCTTAACACATTGTACCCATGTGGGGAATTGAACCCGGGTCTTCGGCATGACGAGCAAATGCTATAAGCACTAGGCTACCCCATCGCCCCATACAATACATGATGATAGTCCACATATTATAGAAAGCCTAATGGATGTCAACTTCTCTATTTTGAGGATCACAACGATTATAAATACTTGCTTCCATGTCATTGTGCGTATCACCTACAGGACTGCCTGGATTAATTCCTGCCTTCAATGTTTATTGCCAATACCAATCAGTGCCATTAACATCAATGTTTCATTTGTCCATTGACATTACTCATCAGCAACACTAACCTACTGGCTTCCTTTGTTATCTCATCGCTGTTGTTGTTTCACATGTTCTTACATAGCTATCTATTTCCTAATATGTTTTTTATTCACCTGATGAAGGAGTAAGAAAATACTCCTTAGCAACGTGTTCCTCAAAATAAAGAAGTTGAAATCCATAACTTCTTGGCTTTATGTGTATTACTTCAACATTTACAAAAATAAGCCAAAAAAAACAATACATAAAGCACAGACAAATATTCTTTAGTTGGCATTTGGAAAATTTGACTGTTTTTGTGATAAATACACTAATCAGGATCGTTTTGAGTTTAGCACAAAAATATGGTCATTTAACATTTAGTAAAATATGCTTCAGTTCCAAATACATTTCCAGTATTCACTGACAGAGCACACAGAGAACCCTGGATAACCCAAGCTGCCTGTGAGGCGCTAGAAGGTTAAGTCACATGACTTATCCCACCAGGTACCCATTTTCTGCTGGGAGAACAGAGGCAGTTTTGAACAAACCCACTTGCCTAAGGTGAGACCACATGTATCACATGTGCTTCGTTGTGGGGCAGGACTGAAGTCCTAGAAACTCTCAGGAGTCAAGCTGCCAAACACGGTCACCCATCCAAGTACTGCTCAACTTCATCTGATTTATGAACTGAACTCTATGCACAGGACCTCACATAATGTGAATAAATATGAGACTGCAAAGCAAAACCAACTCCTCCATATTTTTTTAAGGTTTACCTTTGACGTCTTAGACCTTTTCTTAGGCATAAAATCATCCATTTCTTCATCAGAAGTCATCTTTGAACGTTTAGGTACTGCCGCTCTCTTCTTCTTTGGCTTGTCGTCACTGTCAGGGTCTTTCTTCTTCCTTGGCTTCTTTGGTTTCTTCTCTCCATCAGCCTTGTCTAGATAGGAAAACAAACATGTCAAAATATACTCAAGATGTTTCATCTGCTTCCAGTTTCCATAGAAAGGATAGGTAACATCCTGAAGGAATGTACATGATCTTGGTAATTGCTGATTGGCTGCATAACATCACACTCTGCAATATTCCAGTTATATGATTGTAACCTGCAAATAGTTGAGAGTTGACTACAGACGCAAGTGATTCATATAATGAGCAACAACTCAGTCTGCCTGTGGAGGATGACATACTATCAACTATCTGTCTACTAAATCCATCATAGCAGCTTACAACCAGCATACGTTCTTGCGCCCGTGAAGATAAGGGTAGGAATTGATCTTCAGTAAAATAGAGGCAACTAATGGGATTGGGTGGTCAGGCTCACTGACTTGGTTGACACGTCATCGTATCCCAGTTGTGTAGCTTGATGCTCATGCCGTTGATCACCGGATTGTCTGGTCCAGACTCTATTATTTACAGCTGTAATATTGCCGAGTGTGGCGTTAAATAACAAACAAACCAACTCTTTTAACATAGGGGGGGGGAAAGAGAGAAGGAAAGAAAGAAAAAGACGCACTCGTCAATAGTCGAGCTATATGGTGACAGTCTGTTGTTAATCAGGACCAAACAATCGTAACCTACAATGCTACACAATGGCAATGGATGGTTTCGTACAGGGCTCTACCTGCAGCACCACAATTTCAATACGGATTCCCGGATTGGCCAGACTCGATTATTTACAGACCACCGCCATATAGCTGGAATATTGCTGAGTGCAGCGTTATACTACCCTCACTCACTCATCCCTGGGGACATATTCTAACCATGTAAAATTAATACAATCAGTTGGGTTTCTTCTTGTGCATGGTTTTTCATGATAGAATTTGTTAACCAGATTTCTAACAGGACTTGAGCAGAATTGAGTAACATGCAATATGAACATGCATAATATTATTTGATAGAAAAACAACAACCCAATAAAACAAAACAAATCTAACTAACACAGAACAAGGTTGGATAAAGTGATGTTAGTGTACAAATAATGGTCAAGTATAGATCCATATTTGGAATCATGGTGACAGGCTATCAAAGGGACATTACTCTGTTCACATTAAAAAATATCCTAGCAACGTGTACCAGTCAGAGCGTGGCACTCTCCTCATTGGCAGATAGTAATGTGGCTTATTAAGGTCTATATTCAAAACTTAGATTTGAGGATAAAACACAGCAACTTCTAGATGTTCAGACATGTTGTGTTCCTACTGGGTCAGTGGTTGAGGCTATACCTGAAGTAGCATGTTGAAAATCTCCTTTTAGATAAATATAATTTATATGAAGCGTGTCCGAAAATCTTGCCTGTTTAATGACAGATCCTCTCAATGTCAAACTCGTAAGATCACTATCTCACATCCTACTTGTAAGACAGAATCATAAATATTGATCTATAAGTCATAACATATCTGAAATGAGGAAAGAAATACATTTCAGCACAATTACCCAACAGTTGGAGGTAGAAATTAATGTTATTAAATCTTAATTTTGAATATAATCAAACAAAGTTAATTTTGATCTTCCAAACACAAATTTTGGATAAAAGACATTATCAGTTAGTTTGGCCTATGTGTATATCCTTCAATGGCCAGACGCATGCAAACAAAACCACAAGTCCCATGCAGCACACCTTTCTCCACTGCGGGGAAGACACTTTCATCCTCCGAGCTGCTTATTGTCAGTATCTTCGATTTACTCTTTGCTTTTGATGCTGCACTTTTGGACATGACTTTATCAAACAGACTCTCTACACTAGGCTGGTTCTTGTCTATAGAGAAAACAGATAATAGAAACACAGACATTCAGCCTAAACAGCCACAAGAGAAAAGGCATCTCAATACTTTGCATTTTTGTACACCATACTCTTCCAGTACCATGAATACAAAGGGTGGCTCTGCAGTGTAAAAGACATGAGTGTATGCTTAGTGAGTTATTGAAATGAGTCAATGTAAAACTCGATGAAGCCAGCTGAAGCCAGTCAGTCTTTTCTGTGTGTGAACTTTTCTGTTGCCAGATGGTGGAGCAGACTGTCACAACGCTAACTGATGTCTTCCCTATGTGTGAACTTTTCTGCCAGATAGCGAGGTAGTGTGTGGAGCAGACGGTCACAAAGCTAAATTGATGTCTTCTCTGTGTGTGAACTTTTCTGTTGGCAGATAGTGAAGATAGTGTGGAGTACAGGTAGATGGTCACAAAGATATAGGAAATATTGCCACTGACATCTGGGCACTCATTGGCCATGCTTTCGTGGCTGTAATTTGCACACAGCAGAAAGTTGTGCCTGCATTTACAGGTAATGAAAGAAAATGTGGCGTTTACAAAATCCTAAAATAGTGACGATAGAAAACAGCAAGAGCATGGTTCCGAGCAGTCAAATTAAAAATTAGAGCAACTTTATATACCACACACAAACATTTTGTTTTCAATCTTGACTGACATTTGCCTGCATTAAAAAAAGCTTTTGTCACTCTTAGAATAAAATGGCTTACTGTTATTTGGAGGTTCTCACAACATTAACTTTCTTTTCGATCTGAGCGAAACAGGAGTCAAATGGACAATCATTGGCTTGTGGACAGCGCAAGGGATGCAACTCTACACAGTAAATTACAGCACCCTAGATAACTTGGCCCCTTGCGCCAACACTTTGCTGAAAGCTCAGTACATTGTGATACGTAGATCTTATATACATGTAATTACAATTGGTTGGGTTTCTTCTTACGAATATTTTTTCAGGGTGGAATACTTCAAGTTTTGTTGTATCATATCGCAACCTTTCTATGAAGAGTTGTACATCCTTGCCTTGTCCTGTGTATCTGAATCCTGTGCTGCTTGCCAGACACACATGCATGCATGCAAATCAGACATATATCAAGAAGCTAATACTGGAGTATTTCACAACATGCACTGTGCAGGTAGTTACAACATTATCTACACAGGTGTAGACCTGAATCAATACATCGGTTACTGACCTTTCTTAGGAGCTCTGGGCTTAGCGGCAGCCTTGGGTTTCTTAGCAACAGGTTCTTTTGGCTTTGGTGGAAATATGTCATCCTTGTCGTCGTCGTCGTCATCACTGTCTATTACCATAGGTCTTGAATCTAATAATGCATGAAACAATTATTTTCAACTGCGTTTAAAAATTTCAACTAGTTTCTTTCCCATTATGCTAACCCAATACACAACATTCATGTTTTACCTAATTTCACCTAAACTTGAGAAGCTGAAATGAAACAGCACTTGATGTGTCATTATAAACATGCTAAAATTTCATTTATTTAAATTAAACTGAAAGAAAGCACTGCAAGTCTCATGGAACACAAACATCCATGTTCATCAAAACACAAACTGTGCACATTATCCGTGACTAAACTTCAACAACCACGTACACTTCCACCACAAAATATTCCACTTATCTTTTGAAGAACATAAACAAAATCTGAAATAATCTTTACATTTCTCTTTATATCAACTTTTCTAACAGCATTGTCAAATATGTTTTTTTATATCCATCTGTGCCAGCAAGTGGGTGTTGTAGGAACGTACTTGTTGAGGTGCCCCACTTAAGAGCTGATGGCTGGAGGTTGGCCTTGTCGTCATCACTGTCCGAGAAGTCGGCTGTTATTAGAGGGCTTTCTTTTGCACGCTCCGGTGCTCTGTGGGATTGCCTGTGTAAGTCAACATTAGTGTTGGGAATCGGAAACCAAATCCACTATCGATTATCGGAGGATTGTGGTGAACGATTATCGATTATAATCGAAATATATACATTTTTAAAGAAATCACCAATTTGAAAGGTTTTCCCCCAGGTTTTTTCTAATAAATGTTCCTTATAACTAACTAATACTGTCATGCAATGAAATGTATGCATGCAAGAAAGACACTGGAATTGTAATTAAACAACAAAAGTAGTTAAAATTTTACAATGCGCATAGCTTTACGCTGTTGAGCGCATGTTTGTTTGTGAATATTCATCAAATTTAATCGCTAGTTTACTTCATTCAAGTGTGTAAAAATAAAACAACAAAATTCCAATAAATCGAAAATATGTTAGTTTACAATTGATAATCATTTTTAATCCTTCTTTCGATCAATTTTCGATTATTTTCGATCATCGGAACACCACTAGTCAACATGGTTGTGAAAATCACCAGAATAGTTATGATCATGATAAAAAGTACATGGGCAAACGTACCTTGGAAATAAAGACAAATGCAGGATCTTTAAATGTTAATTTATCTCTTACTTCATGAGTCAATAAGTGTTGTAATATGCCTCTAACATATATATTCTGGTCTTATTCTGACAGTCGTTTAATACATGAGAAACATTATACTCCAATTACAAATGAGTCTGAAAAAAACAATCAAACACAAAGATAGACACAAAAAGTCTCTTCCTCTCTACATTAATATACCTTGCTCATTTGTAATATTAATGCATGGAAAATTACAATCCGATGATTACTTAATAAGAAATAAAGAATACCAACATATACATGCAACCACCTTATAACTACTTTCACACATACCCAAAGACGGTTGACTCTGTGGGCTTGAAACTGTCATCATCATCGTCGTCATCGTCATCTGAAATGATTGGGGACGGTCTCCGTGCAGCTACAGGTTCACTGGCCCCGTTCATCACAACATTGTCATCACCACTATCACTGTGGATCTGTTCCTCATCACTCATCTCGAACTTCACCTTGACAGCTGTCAACACATAAATCATGCCACACTCAAGACAACTCCGTATTGAAGCATAAATCATAGAAGCCAGATAATAATTACTTTAACTGTAGTTAGTTCACTGTTAAACGCTGCACCCAGTATTCTACCTATAGCAGGTCAGTGAGTGAGTTAGTGAATTGGGTTTTTTACGCCGCTTTTAGCAATATTCCAGCAATATTACGGCGGGGGACACCATAAGTGGGCTTCACACATTGTGCCCATGTGGGGATTCGAACCCGTGTCATCAGTGTGACGAGCAAACGCTTTAACCATTAGGCTACCCCACCGCCCCATAGCAGGTCAGATTGAAAAGTATGAGTCAGTGGTTGATATAAAGAGTAACTTCCAAAGCTGCAGGGTTATGGTGACCCACAATAAACAAATCACAGAACCTGACCACTAGTGTTGGGAATTGGCTGAATCTAACAATTGATGATTAGTTCATTACCACGAGCAATCATTGAACAAAATTAGTTAGCGTCATTTTCAGATTTTCCTGTTCGAATTGTTATTGCAGATAAGTATAAAGAAAAACACTTGTGGTTCTCTGTTGGCTTTTTTCAGGCTTTATTTAGGATAGGCGTAAATAGCATTTGCAAACTTCACCTCCAATGTAACATGATGCAACTTGCTACTTTAAAGTGATGACTACTATATCATGAACAAAAAGTTCCCAGTGTCTTCATTGTAAGAATTAAACACATTTTCACCGCCCTGACAATTTCTGAGATATGTTCCACTGTCAAGTGTTCCAAACACTAAAACAGTAGTTCCAAAACCATTTGTGTTCGATTATTAGAAAATGTGATTGATTGCTTGGTCGTTTGGTCACTGCGACCAATCTTTGATTTATTTCAACTAATTGGAACACCACTACTGATCACACTCATCTCTGGTTAAAACAGCTGACAGCTGGGTGCATTTTAACCAAAGATACATGTCACCCCAAAAAAGATGTTATCAAATCTTTTCTGAGTAGAACTGTCAGTATAATTCCATGACATATCAGCAAACTCCCAATTTTACAAAAGACAAAAGATTAAAGGTTAAGGTCTTAACAATGCCTGGCAGTCAAACACCAAGCCTTTTCCCGGGGCTGTATTAACCTCGTATTGTTTATGACCTGCCTAAACATTATTTCAGCAATCACAGACCTGGCGACACACAGACCTAACATCTCACATCCACCAACCTGCTGCACGTCTGGGTCCACGGTCCCTTGGTATCACGATGAAGCTTTCGCCTTCATCATTGTCCACATCACTGTCCATATCACTCATCTCTGATGCAGAAGATTCAGACCAAGGGTTCTTCTTTTTCCCACCCTTCTTCTTCTTGCTCGGAGTTCCTGGGGAACTGTTCTTGGGTTTGCGAGCTGTTAGTGAGAAAGAGTATGTTTCATCGTCACTGAGAACTGTACTTGAGTCTTGTTACTGTGTTTTGGCTCAATCTGGGAGCAGTGATGCTGTGAAACTAAGCATGAAATACATTGAATAACTTTCCTCATTATCTTGGCTATGATTACTAGCTATAACTTGCCAACCTGATCTGCTTATTGTTTAATTTATAATTTGTGAATGCACATACATTTGCAGTGCTGCGTATTTACATGAAATAAGCGAAAAAAACACTTCTGTGACAATTCTGCTCTAGATTGTGTTAGTGTGTATCTTAATGAAGTACATATGTTACCTTTTGCTGTGTTTTCTCCTGCTGGAGCCCGCGATGCTGCCGTCTTCTTTATCTTGGTGGCACCAAGTCTCTCTGCCAGACTCTTGGGCTCCGCATCCTCCTCCATCTTGATGTCTATGTCATCATCCTCCAGCTTCAGCTCCTTCCTCTCCTGCAATTCAGCCAGTCAGTTTGCTGACACTTTGAACATTTACAGTTATATCCTGGTTTGTCAGTTTAATGTGGAAAACAAGTAATGAAGGTCGATGTCAGATACAACCAAAACAGTTACAGGACTGACAAACCAAGAATGACAAACAGGGCAAAACATGAACAAAGAATTCAACAGACCTTAGAGTTTCAATTTGTGAGTCTTTGCCTGAATCCTGTGACAGTGCGTCTTAGATTTCTCTCTCAAGAACAATCAGACATTATTGTGGTTTACACTTTCACACCACCTACCTTCATTCTACTCTTCTTGGCAGCATCCTTAGTGGCCTTTATCTTCATTGCTGAATCAACCCTCGGCACAACACGGCGCCCCATGGGAGATGGCATTGTCTCTTGAATTGGCATCCTGCGGGCCTTGCCTGTCTTGCCAAGCTTTGCTTTGGGTTTGACGTTCTTTGAAACCTCTTCATCCAACCTTTCTTGTTCCTCCACAGCCTACATAAACAAATATAATGATCAGTATGCACTAACATGCTCAACACAGGAGAAGTAAATGCTACTTAAAGATATACCTTGTGGTACAGAAGCATGAGGGACAATCTAGGCAGGAGTAGAGACAATCAGCCAGATCACACATTCTATTCCCATCCTCAGGAGTATGTTCTGGATGCATTCTCCCTTACAGTCAGTGAATTTGGTTTAATGCTGCTTTTAGCAATATTCCATCAACATCACTGCAGGGGACACCAGAAATGGGCTTCACACATTGTACCCATGTGGAGAATTGAACCCAAGTCTTCGTAGTGACGAGCAATAGCTTTAACCACAAGGCTACCCCACAGCCCCTTCTCCCTAACAGGATCTTCAAATGTTCAAATGGTAGACGACCATATCATCTTGCTCAACAGGCAGGCAGACAACAAACCCCAAACACTATGGTACTAGGCAGAACTTGCTAAGAACAGAAATCATCCCTGAGCATTATTTTCCTGATTCAACAGAGGCAAAGAACTGCCTAGGTCAGGAATCCTCTATAAGTCAGTAATAATGGTTCCTATGTTTCATGTCATCACATCCCATTTGCGTAGATTGATGCTCATGATGTTGATCACTGGATTGTCTGGTCCAGACTCGATTATTTACAGACCACCGCCATATAGCTGGAATATTGTAAAACTAAACTCATTCATGCCTATGTTTCACCTTTATACTACTGACTTATAATACAACAGTCAGTATTTCATGGCTGGCAATGTAGAGATCGAAACCTTACATCTAAACTCTGCAGGAAAGCCTCGAGATCTTCCTCCCACATATCTGATGGAGACTTCCTTCTCAGCTTCTCCAACTCATGGGCCTGGAAACAAAGAGGTTACGCAATCATCTAGCTGCCAACAGCTTTTAATATTATTAACAAAATATATTTCCAGAGTAAGTTAATAGGAAACATTTAAAGAACCTAGCAAAACAACTGTTGTTCATGGTACCTTTATAATGGAAGCTATGACCTAGTCAATAACCTCTATAACTACAAATTCTTAACATCTTTCCAGTATTTTTCAACTAATTTATTCATTTATGAATAATGCACTTAGTAAAGGCTGTTAAGTGGAAAAGATACCGGTACTAACATGCTGAATGTACAGAGCACAGCGTAGGAAACTAATGTCCCATGCTAGCAGCTGGTACCTTGTTCACTTGTGACTACCCAGTTAGTAAATGTAGAACGCAACAACAAGCTTACTTTGTCAGCTTTCACTACTACTAAACCCAAACAAGTGCAGCATAGTTCATACCTATATGTAATGTACCTACAATGATAACTAGTCATGTGTGGCTGTGAGGACCTGTTATTTTCTATTGGTGGAGCCTAACAATGTCAGCATAGAGGACCAGTTGATGGGTTTCTCCTACTGCCTACATCATCAAGTGATGGCTACCTTGGCATCCCGCTGCTTGCAGAGCTCATCCTTCTTCTCCTTTGTCAGGTTCCACAGCGGCATGCTGAGAATGTAGTTGAAGTCAGGGCCGGAGGAGACGTCAGAATCCGAATCGTCGTCTTCCTGAGCTTCCTGCGTTGTAGGATGGGTGATATTGTCATAAAAGATACATCATCACATGTAATAGGTACCATACCATCAGAGAGAGAGAGAGAGAGAGAGAGAGAGAGAGAGAGAGAGAGAGAGAGAGAGAGAGAGAGAGAGAAAGAGATAAAGGAGAAAAAAAAAAAAAAAAAAAGAGAGGAGGAGAGAGAAATCCCTAGCACTGAATACATGCAACAACTGTTGCCACGGAAGCGCAAAAGGCGATTGCGGATGTAAACAAACCATACCTGAACATGGCCAGTATGTGAGGAGAGAAATTTGGTCAATGCCACAAACATGGGTTTGGTATGGACCTGTGCACTATACATCTTTACGTGGGTTTGGAACACACCACTTAAAGAATATGCTGTGTTTTCAACGAGAAAGTAAGGCTGCCCACATTGGCACTGGGGAGGAGATATATCTCAGTGTAGCATGTTTACAATGCATTTGTTGACAGATGATGCCTTGAAAATGTCTGGAACTGGCTAGAATGATGGCATATATTGTTGAAACAGAACAACTATATCCTCAAAGCCATGCAATACTGACTACCTGTATCATGCAATGAGGATGAGAAAATGAAAATGACAAAGGGGTGGGTATTCGCAGAAAAGTCTTTTGCAGATGTTTCTGTCAAGAACAGATTTTGTTGTTTTGTCCAATATGGAAACCATTTTAAAAAAGACCAAAATAATAACCACTTCTAACAAACCTGAACATAAGGGATACTTTGGATTCAACATAACCCTGTACTATTTCAACACAGTAATATCTATCACTTTCTCCTCATTGTCATCAAGACCCGTGAAGGTCTGGGTTAGAATATTGATCTTCAGTAACCCATGCTTGTCGTAAAAGGCGACTAAAGGGATCGTGAGGTCAGGCTCGCTGACTTGGTTGACACATGTCATCGGTTCCCAAGTGCGCAGATCGATGCTCATGCTGTTGATCACTGGACTGTCTGGTCCAGAGTCGATTATTTACAGACCGCAGCCATATTGCTGAGTGCGGCGTAAAACTAAACTGACTCACTCATTGTCATCAAATTGATATTATTCCCACCTGACAGACATAATCCTAGCGAACTGAAAGAATCACTAACTGACCAAAGTGATACTGCTCACTGCATCCAGTACCAGCCACATTAGTCATGGTTCTTGTGCAAGCTTTGATTGAGAAATGAAATGACGAACAGTAAGTCGACATTTGTCAGTCAGAAAGCAGCTTTCTTGAGCTTTATGGCACTAATTCCAAAATGGCTACTTAAATGATCAATTACACTTATGGAAAATATTTCGACAGTTCTCAATTCAAAATCTGAAAACTGAACAAATGAAAATTCTGGAATTTTTAAAGACGGACAAGCTTTCCGTGGGCTACAGAATGAATTTTGTGAAAACGTTAAGCCAAATTGAAGCAAGTGATAGACTATATTTTGCTTTCAGAATATGTCAAACAGCTCATGGCTGTCCATCTGAATGCCATTAGTTAACTTTTTTCAGGATGCAGAAATAGAAAACACATACGTTTTCAATTTCATAATAAGCTCATAATATGCTCTGATGGATCGGATGAAAGGTCCTTCTGACATGCCTCAAGCTCTTTTTCACAAACAAATCTTGGCGCTAAGCTGACTGTAACTCCCTTTATTTAACACAGGCTTACAGTCGTAGCGTTAAGACCCAGGGATGTCTACAGATCTGTGTGTTGCAGGAGTGAGCACTAAGATCTGATTTGAATGAAATTGACATGAATCACTACTTGAATATATACCATCACTAAATGACAACTATCAACAACACCCAAAAGATCACAAAGAAATCCACTAATCACATCAATGCTGAAATCTCTCAGATATAAGGGGAGATAATCCTAATGCTCCAGTTCAGCTTACCCGTTTACGTGGACTTAGTTCCTACTAAGTCACATTTCTATGTTGCTGTATTGACAAGAGTGTGTTCAGTTTCACTGTCCACTGTTAATTGCAACAAAATGAGTTCACCCACACATTAGAAGCACAACTAAAAACATGCATCACATCTGTACATGTAGGAATATTTGAGAAAACTTTGAAAAGTTTAAGTGTCTCCAAAAGCTACTTCAGTTTTCCCTTACATCTGAGAGATTACAACGACTACAGACGACAGGGCCACTCATTGAACTTCCTTACCCCTCTGGTGTTTGGCTGCAGATAAAGGAGGTAAACTGGTTAAAATCAATCATCATGAGAGAGAGCATGCACCACTAAATGTTGCTTCATGTCAGTCAGCAATCTTACAACAAGATCAGTGTAACGTAATAATAATCAGTGGCTAATAGCATCAATCCTAATAAATACAGTCTAGAATTGCTTTTCAGCAACCTATGCTTGTTGTAAGAGTTGACTAACAGATGAAGTGGTCAGACTCACTGAGTTGTTTGATGCATGTCATCGATCAAAAATGTGTAAACTGATGCTCATGATGTCATTCACTGGATTGTCTAGTCCAGATTTCTACAGAGGGCCATCACATAGCTGGATATTTGCTAAGTGTGGCCTTAGGGGCTACTGTTTCTAAGTTTCTATAGTTCTCCAGAGGCTCATCAGGATGGAAGTACTTGATGACAGACTGACCTTGCCCTTGTTCTGAGCTTCCTTCCATGCCTTGACTGGGTCGGAGTCGTAGCCTCGCCTCACCAGCACCTGGATAATTTCCTTCTTAGGTTTGTTTTCTGAAATGCACATCCATAAGTTATAGACCATAAAAGGACAAGTAAATGGGTTGGCAAGGAGTAGTCTCTTCTCTCTCTCAAGGACATGGACACGTGAAGATCTGGGGCTCCTTTCACAAATCAACCTTTACTATGGTTAACCTTAACTCCCATTTTTAAACACTGCACTAAGGCTACCTTAGTGACTTACGATCACCTTAGTGCTTTGTGAAACGAGGCCCTGGTTAGAATTGATCGTCAGTAACCCATGCTTGTTGTAAGAGGAGACTAATGGGATCTGATGGTCAGGCTCGCTAGCTGGGTTGACAATCCCAATTGCGTAATTCGATGCTCATGCTGTTGATCACTGGATTGTCTGGTCCAGACTCGATTATTTACAGACCACCGCCATATAGCTGTAATATTGCTGAGTGCGGTGTAAAACTAATCTCACTCACTCAGTTGCTTGGCAACAATCCACAAATGTAAGCAAAGCCCCAATTCTGACTCCCAACTTAAGCTGAACAACAATCTATGATTATTCTTTGCAAAAATACATGATCTGTATCATACTTTGCACTGCACCTTTCCCATAAACAGGGAAGCCAACTTCATGATGCTGTTAATGACACATACCAATAACAATGGTTCCCTCGATTTTTTCAATGATGAATCGTGCAATGTTGTCCAGCCGAAGAGACTCTGCAGCCAACATCCCCTCGAGGTAATCTTTTCTCCTTTTGTACATTTCCATTCGAATGTCAAAGAATTCTTTGAGAATGTCAACAGAGTTGGAGTATCTTTTAATACAACCGTTGTGATCAAACAACACCATAGAACTGGTGGACATCTGATTCTGCAGTTTGAACACCTTGTGAAGCCCTGCTTCCTCAGACTGTGCCAGCTTCTCAGAGGACATTTTGACCAGAAACTTCACTGTGGTGTCAGTGTGGTACTCCTTGTAGTCTCTGAAATAAAAACACAAGTCAAACATCCTGTTGCAACAGCCTTTATACGAAACCCACTGTCAGGAATTGTCAACAAAGACTTGGTACATGTTTCGAGATAGCTCTTGTCCAATAGCCTTTATACGAAACCCACTGTCAGGAATTGTCAACAAAGACTTGGTACATGTTTCGAGACAGCTCTTGTCCAATAGCCTTTATACTAAACCCACTGTCAGGAATTGTCAACAAAGACTTGGTACATGTTTCGAGACAGCTCTTGTCCAATAGCCTTTATACGAAACCCACTGTCAGGAATTGTCAACAAAGACTTGGTACATGTTTCGAGACAGCTCTTGTCCAATAAAGTCTAAAATACGAATATTTTTAAGAACAATAAATAGGATACATACTGCAGTACTCTTCTTGCATAAAAGGAGTGAGTGAGTATAGTTTTACTCCACTTTTGGCAATATTCCAGCAATATCATGGCGGGGGACACCAGAAATGTGCTTCACACATTGTACCCATGTGGGGAATCGAACCCGGGTCTTTGGCGTGACGAGCGAACGCTTTAACCACTAGGCTATCCCACCGCCTCTTGCATAAAAGGAAATATTCACAAAATATTATGTGGTGTGCAGGGTAAAGGAATATCTGCTCACAGAAACATGTATTTCCTGAACATTTTGTAAGGTACTGTTTATAAATGTGGTCTGTAGGATGTCACTCACGTGATCAACGGTTGTGTCTTGTCCGTGCCGTGCAGGAGGGGCTCCAGAACATCCTCCTTGTAGTTCTGGGTCCATGTTTTGATTGGCAGCTCAGTAATCTCTATTGTTTGGTCATCTATAATAGCTACTTCCCCGGAAACTAAGCAACGGCCTTCACCAATTTCTTCAATAATTCCTCTGTAGTTCTTGTAGGACGGCAACTGGGGAGGAGATAAGTCAACATTCTGAAGGACTTCTCTACACAGACAGAGTACCCTACAATGTTACATGTTTGTTTGTTGTTACAGGTTAAATATGTAACTTACACATCACCCACCCTGCTAAATGCCTCAGTCAGCAATATGCCAGCTTTGCCAAGTCGGCACGTAAATCATTGATACTAAGGAACACAAAAGCATTTTTCTTCTCATTAGTTTCGATACTGCTAAATCCTAGGGCTCGCTATTGCTATAGATCCTAATGATTGATAATCATTACCGGTAACTAAATATCAATCAATTATCAATAGTGAAAGAGTCTAGTTTCATGCTGCTTTTAGCAATATTCCAGCAATGTCACGGTGGGGGACACCTGAAATGGTATCACACATTGTACCCATTTAGGGAATCTAACCTTTGTCTTCGGTTTGTAGAGCAAACGCTATAACCACAAGGCTACCCCTAGCAATCAATTATCAATAAATATCAGAGAAGAAAATTGGAGAAAATATTCAAAGAAATATTTAAAGAAAGCAACATATTTCACGTAGCTAGTGAATGGTGACACATTAATACTCGAGTTACTGACAAACATAATTTAAATATGTATCACTAACGACATTTCTCTGTGTATTGAGATCAATGACACAATTTTTGTATTGATAGTTCTTCACGTTGATTGTTCAGATATGAATCTTTTCAGCCAGCCGTACTGAATTCCAAAACTCTTTAACACCAAACATGATCCAGTATCACACACCATGTTCCTTGGTTCCAGGCCATCAATCATTCTCTTCACATTGGCAACAACCTCTCGAACATCGTAATTAGGGATCCTGGTGCTCCATCCTGTTCCGATACCATCTGCTCCGTTACAGAGAACGGTGGGAATGATCGGACAGTACCACTCAGGTTCGATCTTCAGGTTGTCATCAAACTGAGCCTTCAACAACGGGTCATCGTGAGCGCTGAATAGCAGGCGAGCCAAAGGACTGTCGAAAGGAAACATTGTTCATGGTAAGAACTTTACTTTTACTACGCCATAAAAATAATAACATATACCTATTATTACTTCAAGGTAAAAGTAGTTGTCCCCAAGTAATTGAAGTCTTTATTGAACTGTATTAGAATGAGACAAATTCTGAACAGAAAAACAGTGAGTGAGTGAGTTTAGTTTTACGCTGCACTCAGCAATATTCCAGCTATATGGCAGCGGTCTGTAAATAATCGAGTCTGGACCAGTCAATCCATTGATCAACAGCATGAACATCAATCTGCACAATTGGGAACCGATGACAGGGCAAACCACTTTGTGTTGATTGTTAAGACAGTATTGTTAACATCTTCAGCATGTTAACGTCTTTACCTCACACAATTAACATAAGTGAAACAAATGCTTAAACTTGGGTTTCTAACTTTCACCAAATTCATTTAACACAAAAACAACTCGTCTCAGGACGCACAAATATGTTTAATGCACTACATTCCTGACACTAAAGGTCCTGTAATTTTAAGTAACTATGAAATCTGCCAGTAAAGTACACTATACAATTTCATTACTTTACAGAACCCTCATATTTTCTGAAAGGACCCTTGAAATAACAATAGAGACCCTTGGTTTACTTTATTAGTAAGTCAAGGTTAACTCTGTGAAGTGTGTACCTGAGCGCAGTGAAGATGTAACGGGGGCTGGCAGCATCCTTGCCGCCATGGATGCGGGTACCGAACTGACCAATGGGTTGCAACAGATTCAGGTTGTTTGAACCCACAAAGTTTTGAGCTAAGTTGATGATTGTGCCCATGAGTGATACCTGCAATCAGATTAACCACACACTAAGCACTTTCCTAAGCTATGAACATCACTTTCCATCTGACAAATTACACGTACAAATAATTAGCCAACAAGAATTTGTTTGCTGAAGCTTTATGTTAATGGTTATGCAACATGGAAGTCCAAAATGTTGAGTGCTTTCATTTCAATGCAGTCAGTTGTTGTGTTGAAATGGTTTTAACTTCATCATGAAAGACTGTACCTCTCCATGGTGATAGGCAGATTGTTCAGAAACCGAGCCGGCAAGTTGAGCTACTTTGATTTCCTTCACCAAGTTCCTCTTGAAACAAGTGAACAGAACCTTCCTCTGTCCAGGCTTCAGGCCATCCACAAGGGACGGGATGGAGCGCACATTGTCCATGTTGCTGAAGAGAATCAGTTCCCGGTTGATGAACTCATTGAAGCTAACTTTCTTGGTGTCCTTGCTATACAGGTACAACTGAAACATCAGTGAGCAAACATTGCTTTCAGACATTCACCTCTCAGATACACTTACAAACCGATCAGACAGGATACAGAAACTTGCAATAGAATCTTCCCTCGGAGTGAGTGAGTGAGTTGGGTTTTACGCCACTTTTAGCAATTTTCCAGCAATATCACGTCAGGGGACACCAGAAATGGGCTTCACACATTGTACCCATGTGGGGAATCACACCCGGGTCTTTGGCGTGAAGAGTGAACACTTTAACCACTAGGCTACACCACCGCCCCCTTCCTTCTGGTGCCTGTAATTATAACCTATATAAAGTAACAATGTAGCTTAAATTAGAGGTCTATTATTTTTTTAAATCCCATATCTTTGTTCAACACTGCACTTGGGTACTAAGACCATTCAACAAGCACTCTGATTGGTCTTGGAAAACTCAAAATGTATAACAATCACCTATCTATTGGTTATTACAATATGAAAACATATATGACAGCAATGGAACAACTGAGGGGACTCGGTGGAGGTGTCTCTTCAGGTATGGAAATTGTAACGCAAAAGCATTGTTCCTAACTTGCAGAAAGAAATATAATAATCATCACTGTCACTTTTTGCATTCTCTATCCATAGTTTGAACTAAATTGTTCTGGAGTCCTGAGTCATATACTGAATGTTTGCTCTGGTTGATATTTCCAAGGTTCACACACCTCAGGTAATCCCATGTCTGTTCGGCGCTTTCTCTCCTCCATCCAATTGGTCAGCCATTCCTTCCTCTCCTCTATCTTCTTCTTGCTGAATGCCAGGTTGATAGAAGCATCGTCCTCTGACCCAACGTACTTGAACGGGATCCGATGACGCTCCATGTCACTGAAGTATTCCTTCGCCTCCTTCGATGTGGAGGTTCCCAAACCTAGCAGGTGGACAATTCCAGAAATAGTTTTAGTGAAAGGAAGTGTGTCTATATATATGCTTCAGAAACAGTATTAGTGGTGGAAACTTATACAAATCTGTAGAGGTTATGAATTCTTTGAAGAAAGTCCTCCTTGGGGTACATATAAACATTAAAATGTCCATTTTAAATCCTACGACAGTTGTAACTATATTTTTCAATAAAATATTTACAAAACAAAAAACTTGTTTTGTCTTGTGAGACCACCCCTACAGGGCCCCACCAGGCCCCCTACAGCCAAGAGCAGGTACCTCTCACCGTCTACCTTGTACCTTACTTTTCATGCTGAACGTGTCAGACAGTATGAGGGGAGGCGGGTGGCCGTACCCCACGGAGGACTTTCTTCAAAGAATTCATAACCTCTACAGGTTTGTATAATTTCTTTTTCAGAAGAAGTCCTCCTTGGGGTACATATAAGCATATGACAAGACTCCCAAAGATATTTGAGATGGGAGTGGCATTCTGTCTGGCCACAACCAAACCCGTGGTGGAGTAAAATCTACAACCGATATGGAAATAGAAAAAAACACACTTACCGAGCCACCTGACCGCTGATGTCAATCAGGCAGGGGACGTGGCTAGGGCGGGAAATAGACAGCCCAAGCTTATACGTCAATTGGCTCAAATCAATTATGACACAAAATCCCACCCCCAACCATTACAATGGAAAGGAATGTATGGCGACATGCCGAAACAACTCCGAACCCTCATAAAGCCCGAACCAGAGAAGCGTGGCGAGAGGTATAAAGGTAGGGAAAAACTGTTAGCGTACAAAAATCCCCTGATAGCGGAGAGCATAGTCGAACATGTGTTGGCTCACTATTACACTAACCTGGTCATGTGACATGCGACTCGAAGAGAGGCATACCAAACAGTGACCCGTGGGGGGTTCGTACCCAATTCCATAGCAAGACAGATTAATAGCATACGACTGGTTATTGCGTTCAACACCGGCCCCGCCCTCTTGCCTTTAAGTGAAGAAGACGTAAGGGACGTATGTACACCAAAACCCGACCCAACCCGAAAGGGTGGTAAGGCTTATATGATGTAGTGATATGAACCATATCGACAGTGAACACAGAACCGATACCAAAGACCAGTTACTAACTTGGTCAGGGTGGCAGGACACTCTCCACTGGAAAGAACCGAAAGACCGAACCGAACACGATCCTTAGAATGCTTGTCAAGTCGGTAATGGTGCATGAAGGCGTTCTGACGGCTCCAAAAAAGAGCGACAGAACCGATTTCTTCATTGAGCAGTGCCACTGTGTATCACCAACAAAGCGGCATCTTCCCTACCCAGGCTGCCTTCAACGGCTTGGGGGAAGGTAAACCTTAGCATTGTAACCGGACAATAACGGAAACAAGCCAACGAGATAAATTCCGCTCGCTAGCAGACTCCCCTCCGCCAAACAGAACACATGGGTACCCGTGCGGATCCCTTTCATTCGTTCATTACAGTCACTCCAACGGGTGAGCAATCAAAAGATGGTAAGGGTAAGGGGTGGAAGTTCGATATGAGCAGTCACGTGGAAAGCAATATCGACCTGAGAGTGGTAGGTATCCGGGAGGCGAATACGGACATGATCAGTATAAATACTATCGGGTATCGCATGGATGTACCCAACCCTTCTACCAGAGCTCACCACCACAAGCAAAGCCGCCTTCTACGTCAAAAAGTAAATTGAGAGAGCCCATATACTTGAAAAGTCAGGGCCAGACAGCCAATTCAGAATAATTGGCAATTTTAAGGTGGGCTGGGTCGCCGCTGAGGCGGTCGAACCCTGTCCTTCCAGCTGCCTAGGCTGAGCACCATCGAACGAGGTGTGAAACGTGGAAATAGCCATGGAGTACCCGGGAATGGTGGAGGTCATAAGGCTCTCAACCAAAACGAGGTTATAGTAACTCCAATATCCGAACTAAATCCGCAGAATAGGGATTATGAAATTCCCCTATCTGCACACCAGCGCGCCCAACCTATCAACACACTGAACTGGCGGCGAATCCCGCCTCGAAGCCAGAATTGTGTCTGGGGGTTAGACCCGACAGAGGCCAAGCCACCCAGTGAATCCGAGGATTCGGGAGTGGCGCCCCGTTCACAGTGAGAATGTCTCGCCGAAAAGGTAATTCGAATCCCGGCGTGCAGGATCGAACACCAACCTGACTGCTGTCAATTCCAGCACATTGATGTGCAGGTTGTGACTTCGTCGTCAAGAGACAGCAGGTCGCCCACAACATCGCCCCAACCCGGGAGGGATGTATCTGGCTGGACTGAGGGTGACAGTGTCTCCAGGGGAGCCACTCGGAGAGACGCCTGACGTCTGTCCATCTGACAGCGTGAGGTTGACAATTCGGCCAAGTTTCTTAAGAGTGACCAACACTGATTGTGAGGTTCCCAGACTCAACAGTTATTCTATAACCCTGATGAGCCAGTCGCCAGTACGGGTGACAACACCAGCACTTCGATCTGGCTATCTGGGCTGTAATAAACCTCAATTTGGTGAACACCCTTGGCGCCGTAATGTAGCCTAAGGGGAGCAAGAAACTGGTAGCACGTCCCTTCGAACAAGAACCAAAGGTAAATCTTGAAATCAGGGTGCAATGGAACAAGGAGGTACGCAACCTCGAGGTCGATTGACGTGCGCCAATCCCCTGTCTCGACAGATGAGATCACAGAGCTCGGTGTCTCCATCTTAAAGGACAGTACCTCTATTAACTTGTTCAGTATTTTCCCGGGAAGCTGACACTGGTGTGTGTCGCTCCGACTGGGGTTTGTGGCAGAATACAGTAAACCCCTGCAGTCAGCAACATAACGTTTGCTGGTGCCTGGGCACCTGAGGGATTAACGAGAAGCTCGACAGACTTCCGTATTCCTCGAAACAGACCCGGGCGCCATAGGTCAGTAACCGCACTCATCATTTGGTTGGCACAGCTACAAGGCAGTCCCTAGCCAGATGAGAGTTGACCTCCGTCAGATGCCTCCCAGAGTCGCCGCTGACACATCGCTGGCGCTTTTCCCCTTTCCACCAGCTTCCTCAGCAGAGCTGAGAGATGCGCCGAGTGGAGCATACAGCGTTGAGCTGTGAAGGGGAAAGAACGTCAGACTGACGGGAGAGTGTGAGGCCTTGTCCCGGATGCCTTGCTGGAAGCAGGCTTCCCTCCGGGAGGCGAACTCCAACGGTTCGGGTATTCGACGTGGACAACACCTGAGGCAACACAGCTGCGATTCTATCTCGCACTTGCCTCAGGGATGAACCTACTCAGAGTTAAGTTCAAAGTAGCGAAAAGAGCCGAAGCTCAAATCGACCTCTCTACTGTATGAGCCGGAACCCCAGTTCCGAGGCACAAAGGGAGAAGCCCGATAAATCAAGGTATCCCAAGCACTCAGACAGACCTCAGAACGTCGAGGTGACAGACACACCCGGCACACTCAATAGCTTCTTAGTCAAGGCGTCGATAGACATCAGGACGAGATTTGAACTACCAGCGCCAGGAATCTGCGCCCTACCAGTGCCGAAGCCCGGGTCGGTGCTACTCACGGGGTTCAGAGCAACCGCGGAGCCGAAGCTCGGCGGTTCTAGACCGAACCACGATCCCGAGACACATAGGAGTAGCCTGATAAATCAGGGTTCCCCCAGTGCTGTCTCCAAAAGCGCATTGAGCATATAGTCAAACATAGCCTATAGTGCTATATAAATACCCATACATACATACATATATATATATAAGTGCCCGGGTCGGCGGTTCAAGTTCGAACCCTGATCCCGAAACACCTGGGAGTAGCCGGACAATGCAGGGTTCCCCTGGTGTACACGGGTAGACCTCGCTGCATCGAGGTGATCGGTAGCTGCGTCACACTCAACGGCCTCTTGGAAACCTGGCCCCGATTTCCCGAAACAAACTTAAGTCTTAGTCAAATTTGAGAAAATGCATTTCCCAGGATAAACTAAAATCGATATTAAACTCAAACATAGTAGACGATTTGAGTTTGGTGGATAGATTACTTAAGTTGTTTGGGCATTTTTATTTAAAAAATGCAGTTGATTTAAAAATCCGTTGTTTCAAATTGTCCAACTCAGTTTGAAATTTGAGTAAAAACTTAAGTTTGTTTCGAGAAATCGGGGCCTGAGCCTGATCTGCTCAGTACCAGTCGGTGCTAGTCCGATCCCCGGTCCCGAGACTCATGGGTGTAGCTTGACAATGCAGGGTTCCCCTGGTGTACACGGGTAGACCTCGGAGCGTGGAGGTGATCGGCAGCTCTGTCACACTCAACAGCCTCCTGGCCTGGGCGTCAATAGACATCAGGCCGAGACCTGAGCTATCGGCACCGGGGATCTGCGCCAGACCGGGCCGGCCCGGGTCGGTGCTAGTCCAAAGGTTCAGAAAGTCTGAATTCCGGTCCCGAGACACATGGGTGTAGCTTGACAATGCAGGGTTCTCCTGATGTACACGGGTAGACCTCGGAGCGTCGAGGTGATCGGCAGCTCTGTCACACTCAACAGTCTCCTGGCCTGGGCATCAATAGACATCGGGCCGAGACCTGAACTACCGGCGTCAGGGATCTGTGCCGTACCGGGTCCGATCGTCCCCGGGAGGTCGGACCCGTCCTGGAGCCAGAGCTCGGGTCGGGACCTCCCCCAATTGATGCGCCAGTGCAATCTCTACCCATAGACCGGGTACCAATCTCCTCTCGGAGTCTGGAAACCACGTCTGAGATAAGAGCGTGCACCGACGATCTCCGCTGCTGCTGTAAGTAAGAAATCAATCGTTATTGCAGCAACATTGTTTGTGGGGGATGAGTGGGCGGGGGAACGATAAAGGGATTTCCTTAGAAACCTTTCATCAAATATTATCCCCCGCCTGAAGCAGATTAGTGAAAAACATAAAATCTGCGTGCTGGAAAGAATGCGCGTGAGGCGAAGAAACCCAGGCAAAAAACACAACCTCGGCCACTATGAGCCACATTGTGTGTAAACTAATGAAATGTGTATATATGTAACATAACACAACATAATGTAACAGGAATATTGACGCAAGGGCTCTTATTATGAACATCCTTGATCGTCATGAGCGTCCTCGGCTAAACACCAGAGGCACACCTTATGACCATCCCGTGGCGGTAGTGTGCATGGCACAACGCACAGGGCTTAAACTGCAACAAATAGAACCACGCCAGTGTTACTAGCAGGAACTGTGAAGCAGCAAACATATAAATACAAGTAACTAGCAATAAATAAAACACACGGGCCATATTTAAATGCTACAAGCTAAAGCCATTTAAATACTAAACATACAATGCAAAGCAGAAAAAAGGCTAGCCGCACCTGCTTGTACATACTAGTTAGTACAGTTGAGTGATACGAAACAAACACTATCAAAATTACTCATTGACTTACCATAAATTCGCTGAAAAGAGAGAGAATTTAGGCAAGCCTACCATATAATATGCAAACATATTATATGAACTCCCTACTACAAGCTACCAAGAACATGAAGCAAGGAAACCATGATCGCTCGGTCCGCCATTTTGCCTGCCACAAGGCCGGGAACAGAGAACCCAAGGCAATGTTATAACATAAGATGAATGAATATCAACATATGAAGTCCATCTAACGCCCGTACGTAAAGAAAGGAACCATACATACAGATTGAGACTCTTTTACGCTCATCGTATCGGTAGGAGAGCAAACTCGAAACGAACACCATGCACGTCTATTCAACAGAACGACAGCATGAAAAGTGAGGTACAAGGTAGACGGCAAGAGTTACCTGCTCTTGGCTGTAGGGGGTCCGGTGGGGCCCTGTAGGGGTGGTCTCACAAAAACCCGAGTTTGTTGTTTTGTAAATATTTTATTGAAAAATATAGTTACAACTGTCGTAGGATTTACAATGGACATTTTAATGCTTATATGTACCCCAAGGAGGACTTCTTCTGAAAAAGAATGTTATTTGGGACTGGATTTCACAAGTGAATAGCTCTAGTATCTGTAGTTTGGGAAATGAGTCAGAGACAATATAATGACTACAAGTGATCATTTATTCCCTTTCTTTAGTTTCAGTGATGTGACCCTTGATAAAAGCAGGCCTTTCAGATGAGCCAATAATGATCCACATGACCAGGAGAGACAGCTGGGTACACGTTGAACAATGCTGTCTACTCAGATCATGGGTCATCCAGTGTTTGTGGCAACTGAGAAGCATATCTTCACATCACCATCACACGCACAGCATCTCAGGATCTGTCTTGACTACAAACATACTTTCATGAAACACTAATCATGAAAGTAACAATATTTTAAAAATTGTCCAGGATTGAAACGTCTGATTTGACAACTTACAATTTAAGAATCTTTTTTGAAAGTACCAGTCAGGGTTTTACGCGACGCACAAATGTGTGTCCAGTGCCCACAAATGTAGAGAATGGACGCAGATAAAAAATTCACTGTAACCAGAGGGACGCACAATATTATTCATAGTACATATCTATGACTTTCCTATGTGTATAGTTGTTTCTTTCAGAGCAGTTTGGTGCACCATTTCATCCACCAGTCCATACAATCAATGATTCATTCCAGGCTCTAAAGAATTAACAAAACGTACAGTTCTCTACTACACTGTTACTTCACAGGACCCGCACATTGCAAGGACCCCTAAAACTAAAAATAGGGTCCTCGAGACTCCCACCTTTGTGAGTGGAGGTAAAACTCTGGGTGTGTACCTGGAATAAGTAAATATAGGTGGAAATAAACAACACCTTTGTAGTACTTTATCTTCCAGGTGTGCCAGTTGTCAGTCTCCCTTTTCCACTCCTCAAACTCGGGGCAAACTGTAGAAAGATTTCTCCTGTTTGCTTTTTGTAACCTGGAAACACAAATAATTCATCCTGTAAGATGAAGCTTCATACAATTACTTGTCACAGAAGGATTAGTTGTCTCACATGAATTAACTTCTCATTCCCCAGCCTCAAATCTGTCAACTATATGTGGATATGATATGTCTTTGGGGTGTTACAGGCTTTTTTAATACAAAAAATAACACAATGGAACAGCTGACATCCACAGATATGTGCAGGTGTATCCTTTGGAACTGAAGTGTACCAAACAGCTGAACAGATGAATATTATTTTCTATGTATTTGTCCAGTTTACATATGCAAAAATATATTAATAACTGGCTAAAATATAGGAAGCATCAAGGAATTTTTCCAAAGAAAATGATCTTTAAGTGAACTCTTTTGGCACCATGAACATATTCTAAAAGCTATTAGCCCATTTCTACAAGTGGTTTCCAACACAGGATGCACTTTGTCAAACTGTATTCCTAGTTGATCATACTTGGTGAAGATCATACAGCATCACTGATTCTGTACCATAAGGGGAGGTAATTTGTGTTACCATACAGGCAGTACACATTGTACCCATCTGGGGAATCAAACCGAGTCTTCAGTGTGACGAGCAAACGCTTTAACCACTAGGCTACCCCACCACCCTTGGTTAAACCTAACAGGATGTAAAATGGATATGAGGGATGAAGGGGACAATTCAGTAAAAAAGTGTAGTTGACAGTCATATTGACTTGTGTTTTCTGTGAGCGTCTGATGATTACAATACTTAGTCACCACCTTGTCCACCTGACCCCAGTATTCTCTTCTTGCAAGTATTAATAACAAGGGAAGAAAGACTGGAGGGACAATTATCAGTGTTTTTTTAGAACACTGCAAATACGAAACGACGGTAAGAGTCACCTTGACAATAGGTGTGATAAACTCCTCGATGACATTGAACTTGAGGAGGTTGGGCCAGAAGTGATGTACAAAGTTAATAAGAAGGCCCTTTATGTGAGAACCGTCTTGATCCTGATCTGTCATAATCATGATCTTGCCGTATCGCAGACGGTTGATGGCATCCATGCTTTCGTACTTCTCCTTGAACTGCAAGCCCATGATTTTAATCACGTTGTTGATCTCAGCATTGTCCATGATCTAGAAACAGAAAGAATGGAAGTCAACACCAGGTGTGGGACCTACCTTCTCTGAAACCTCTACACATACAACACACAGTTCCCTTAAATAATGCAAATTACAATTCCATACAGGTACCTACCTTAGTCTCTGTATGTGCAGTGTATTCACAAAGATGTGTTATGAAAGACAAGGATTTATCTACTTATTTCATTTTTTTAAAATCTATGACAAACCCCCCCCCGATTCGTTCGATGGCGGGTATCGTTCAAAAGCTCTGAACATCAACAATATCACTGTACCCTTTCCAAGAGTATTTTCACAGTTGTAAGAAGCAATTTTATTGGATAAGAATTGGTTTCTAATGACGCTTTTTCTCCAGTCTGACTGATATAAGCATCGTGATTGGTCGAAATCGTACACGTGACCTAAGGCAGCCAATCATATTACAGCAATGGATACCGTCCTCGAAGATGAAATCGAAAAACTAATGATTCAGGCGCTATTCTGAACGTAAATCACAAATATCTGCAAATAGCAAAAGGCATACGCAATAAAATTATCACCACCTCTGCACGATATTATGGAACTTAGTGGACACTTTGGGATCGCTTCCATGCTAGGTTATGACCTGTGACAAAAAAAATGCTTTTGAGTTATGCCCGACGCATATATTTTAGCATTAAACATTAGGGACGTGTCCGAAAAATGAAGTTCTGTTTGAGTTTTGTTGAAAAAATATTGAATGGTTCTTGAGTTATGTCTTCGAAACGAAGCAATCCTTACTTTTTGAGACTAAGTTCAAAATGTTTCCATGGAAACCGGAAAAATAAAAATGCCAAAAATCGGCAAAGCTGAGATGTCACTTGCATTACAATACATGCGATCACTCCAAAAATGGAAATAGTAAGTTATAATGTTGACAACGGACGGACGGACGGACGGACGGACGGACGGACAGTACTTTTACGTTATGAGTACTTCTTGTTTGGATTTTATTCTTCAGTTTATTCAGTTTGTTTAATTATTTTCTCCAAACATCGTTAGTTTGCTCTTTGACAACTTTGCTGTGGACCCTTGCTGAAGCATGTGTCTGAGAATTTATATTTTTTCAATAACATTGCGAAAAATAGTTTATAATTCTAATCTTGTCAATAATATATGGTCATTTGAAATTTAATAAGCTTTTTCAGACATTGTGAAAAGTGATAGATTTGAAAAAAGAATCATATGTTAGTTAGGTTCCTAAACTTATAGATCATTTTGATGTGACTACTGCCTACGGTGTCAGGGGATTCGTGACGCCTTGGCTGGTTTTCGCCTACGGTGTTGAATGGGTTAATGTGGAAGATATAGTTTGTTTCCTTTAGCATGCAGTGTGATCGAACCTACCTGTTTGTGAGTGGCCTCCCTTACATTCAGGACTTTACCCCTCAAGGGGAACACCCCATATCTGTCTCTCCCAATCACACCGAGGCCAGCTACAGCCAAGGTTTTGGCTGAGTCTCCCTCAGTGAGAATGAGAGTACAATCTTTAGAATTCTTGGTGCCGGCATCATTAACGTCATCGAGTTTGGGGATGCCTTTCAGTTTGGAGTGTTTGGAGGAGTGGCACTTCTTGTTGAGCTGAGCTTGAGCCTTGAACTTCATCCAGCTGAGGACACTCTCCACAATACCGCACTTACTGGACTGGTGATCAAGAAGTGAATTCATATAACATCACTGAGTTCTAAACATTAAACTTGGATTAACTTGGACCTTCACACGGCAAACTAAAGTTTCACAACACATGTTGTAAGAATTTTAAAAGTTGTCAAACTCGCGTTGTCACACGTGAAACACATGTTGTCAAACTTTTGTGTCATTTGAGTGAGTGAGTGAGTGAGTGAGTGAGTATGGTTTTACGCCGCTTTTAGCAATATTCCAGCAATATCACGGCGGGGGACACCAGAAATGGGCTTAACACATTGTACCCATGTGTGGAATCGAACCCGGTTCTTCAGCGTGACGAGCAAACGCCTTAACCACTAGGCTACCCCACCACCCCTTTTTGTGTCATTTGAGCAGTGCCACTTTGTAGGTCGTGTTGACCAGACAACCAAAACATCACATGACAAGTTAGTTGACTGCGATTGGCTGTATCTGAACAACACGAGTTTCACAACATTTCACACGTCAAACTCAAGTTTGACAACACCGATAGTTTGATGGAAAAGTTGGTGAGAATAGAGACCTATCCCATTTCTCGACAACAGTTTGACAACTCTGAAATTGGTGTTGGTGGAGAGTTGTTGGAATGTTCACACTCTCAAACTAGAGTTTGACAACATGTGTTCTTCTAACTTGTTTTTGAACAATGTAACCTGCAGCACATTTCCAAATACAGCTGGACAAATGATGAGCTCATTATGTCAACTACTTTCTCCTTGGGTTCTCAATTCTTTCTTTTCCTCATGCCTTAAGTCTACATGCAATGAGTAAATATCCTTGAACATAAGTATTATTCTTGCCAAATAGTCCTGCAAAACCCCCTTTGAATACATTGAGTGATAATTTCTCAGTTGAATATCACAGCTTGTATATGAGCTCCTGCATGCTAAATCTCTGTTGCTTTTTCACCAATATTTTCCTTTTGGACATAAACAACCAATTTGGCAAAATACAGTCCTATCAAAGGATTATCTCACACTTAAATGGTCATATAACAATATTACCTGTTTGATAAAGTTTTCACTCATCTGGCACTTTGAGCCAAAGCTTTTAGCTTGTAATGTCATGTTCTCTTTTGTCTGGGAGTCAAATGTAGGGTTTTCTATCAGGCAGTTCACAAACACCCACAGGTGGTTCTTGATCTGAATAGGAATAAAATAAATTATTACATATTTCAATGCATAGCAGAGACACCCATAACAAACATCTAGTGATCCAAATATTCTTATGCAACATTTGAAGTTGAACCAAGGAATCTATTATGCAGGTACAAACGTTTATGTTCTTTAATGTCTCAACATGTGTAAGTTATACAGATAACACATTGCCAGCTACAACTCATATTGTAAACAAGGTCGGAGACTTACCTGGAATGGTTTGATGTTGACTCCGCCTTTGTTTTTCTTTTTGACGATTTCAATGATTTTTGACACAACTTGATCAGTGACATAATCTACATGTCGACCACCCTGGAAATAGAACAAGCTGGTAAACAGGTGGTACACGTAGCTGCTACCCTTCAGGTATGTTTCATGTTTGTCAAAATGTACAAGCCACTCATATTTCCTCCCACAAGTTTACACTTGGAATATAAAATTGAATGAAAAATGTGTTCAGGAATTTATCTAAACCTTCTCAGTGGCCAATATTTTGCCCCAAATCTGTCACAGTTTACAGTAAAAATTCCCAGTATGAAACAAAAAAGTTTGAGTTTCTCAGACTTTCTGACAATGAGAATGTTACATCAAAACACAAATTGTGAACATCATGTTTTTGTTTCTACTTTGTATTCTAATCTAGGATCTCTACGGACGAAGGATTACCTTTGTTGTAGCAATACTGTTGACAAAACTGGCCTGTTGGAAGCCCTTGTCACTGAGAGTGATGGCAACTTCCCATCTGGGATTGGGTTGTTCATAAACTATCTTTAGAGGGGCTCCTGCTTCATCTGACTTGTCCTTGATGAACAGGTCAATGTAGTCCTTGAAGTTCTTCACCTTGAAACAGGACATGCATTTCATGAAGTACTATTTGAAACCCTCGTATCAGGTTACCACGTTTAGGTGTGTATATAGAAAAGTGGAAGGAGAGCATTGAAAGGAGCACTATCACCAATTTCAGTCTAAGTCAAAACTTGTTGCCATGGAAACGTCAAAAATATTTTATTCAGAATTCCAAAACTACCAAAAGGCACCAGTACACCACCAGATCAATCTATGTGCCAAGTTTGGAGAAGAAATAGTGAACGGTTTTAGAGTTCTGCTCCGGAAAAGAACACAACCACCAATTTCAGTCTAAGTCAAACTTGTTGCAATGGAAATGCCAAAAATATTTTATTCAGAATTCCAAAACTACCAAAAGGCACCAGTACACCACCAGACCAATCTGTGTGCCAAGTTTGGTGAAGAAAATAGTGAACGGTTTTAGAGTTCTGCTCCGGAAAAGAGCACTACCACCAATGTCAGTCTAAGTCGAACTTGTTGCCATAGAAACGCTAAAAATATTTTATTCAGAATTCCAAAACTACCAAAAGGCACCAGCACACCACCAGATCTATGTATGTGCCAAGTTTGGTGAAGAAATACTGAATGGTTTTAGAGTTCTGCTCTGGAAAAGACAAATGTCCACAGACAGACGGACGGACGCACGCACGACGGAGTCCATTTTAATACCCCCCGCAAAACGCGTATTTGCACTGTCCTAAAGTTGGAAGAAAATCTCAGAGCTGGTTAATTATGGCCTAAGATTATATTAGTACTGAAATGATTTTATTAAAACGAAAAGAGCCTTGACATGAACTAAACTCATTCATTTCAGAATGAAAAGACACAAAAGTGTAAGTTTAGTCATATAACAGGGAAGTATCCTACCGGTACTCGTTTTCCGTTGAGCACAACCCTGACCCCCTTGCAGGAGGCAGCCACATCATAGGCCCGTCTGGTGAAGAGAGCAACAGTGTCAGCATCTAAACTCTGCATCTTGAACTTCTCCAAGTCTGGGAAGAACGTGATGCATGTGAAGTCAGATTCTCTGGCATCAGTAATTGTTGGTTCCTTTGTTTTTTGTCATGTTCTCTGTCCATGTCTGCAAGAAAGGCAAAATTTCTAAGAAAACTATTGCACTCATCCATATTTTAAGTGACACTTTACACTAAAACAGATACACTAGTCAAAACATTAGTGTTCAAAACTGATCATAATCATATAACTGAAGCATTAACTTAGATAGTCATCACCTGGTTCAACTACGTCTACCCTTTACAAAGACATACGGCTACAAGATGTACTAGTGCTGCTTTCGAGGGCACATGAGGCAATGAAGAACTACTGTGTCCTAATGGATTAGGGCTTTGAATTTGTAAATGATAATGATATGGGTACCGATGTATCAATACCAGTCTTAAATTTGTATATAATTTTAAAAAGTATTCTATTTACGGAAAAGTGCAATAACAAAATCTTATCCCTGTTATACATAGCAAATGCAGCACTACTTCAATCACAACTTGTATGTAGTCTCTTACAACTGTCAGTGCTACAACTGCTTCACGGAACAGGCTTCTAATAACATAGGCAAGTGTTACTCTGCAGCATTTCATGAAACAAAACTCTTAATGAACAAGCAAGATACTAGAAGAACACATCAAAATGTCAAACAGACATATTGGTAGCACAACCTTGAGTGTCACCGCCAAAAAGAGACATTAATGTCAAGTGAGGCTGTATTGCGACAACCCTATTATATTTTTATTATTATTATTATAATCTATTTATATAGCGCCGAGTTCCAGCTAGGCTGCTCACAGGCGCTTTGTTTTTCCCCACGATCATAGGATGTCAGTCTCAACGGCGCTTCGTATTATCAATCTCAACTCCCTGGGGGAGCACACAACTCTAGCAGCCACTAAGCACACCGAGTTAATGTGGATTTCCCATCCATACGAGGTACCCATTCTCAGCTGAGTGGGCAGGGACACATAGTCACAGTACTTTGTCCAAGTTTACTACACGTTGCTATACCCACAACTAGGTGTTTGCACATATTCATGTGGCCACCATCTGGTCGTTTACCAATGGATTCGTGGGTTCTTTTAAGTGCACAGGGTTGTGTACTGTACACTACAGTCCCTTTGAGTCAGAAACGGACCGATGAATTGCAAATTTTATCATTGTACAAAATTGACACATAAATATAAATAGTACACATGTTTATCATTTACTAATACCAAACAGCTTTCTTATATTTGAAAATTTTCCGGACTCCACCAAAAAAGCTGTTTAAGAAACTATCATCATTGAAAACCCATAAGTTGTTATCTGTGGCGGTGGGGTGAAACCGCAGAAACGGAACAGCCAGTCATGGCGGGGGACATCTCAAAATCTATTCCGGGAGACCTGTCGGTTCCTCGTCCGTCGTAGGGTCATAGTCACGACTTAAAAAAGGGATGACAAGTGGTGCCACAGTTGCCTGTTGTAAGCCATCCCAAGACCAGTAACCTTGTTCAATGACGTTAGCTACCTTGTTGACAGTTTTGCCAAGTTTCAGTCATGATTTTGTTAAGGGATTCCTTAACCAAAACCTCTACGTCACGTAATCTAAAAGTTGTGTTTGATCTGGCAACATCTCCTTTGACAATACCCCATATCATTTCAATGGGGTTGAGGTCACAGTGATAGGGTGGAAGTCGCAGAATATCGTGACCCTTACTTTTTATGTAACTGTCAACTTTGTAGAAAGGTTCACCTTTGTGGTTTTTTATGATCTCATATATCTGAGGCTTCGTTGCCTTTGAAGGCCGTGCAATCTGAAATTTGTCGAACCATGATATCATATCACCTTTTCGACTGTTTGATGTCGGGGCTTTACTGTCGGGGTCCTGCACGCTGTGGTATGGGGCATTGTCCATTACGATAAAAGACTTCTCTGGTAGAGCTGGTACCAACTTGCTTTTAACCCAATCGAGGAAAACCGCACCATTCATCTCGGAATGGTAGTCTCTGTTATCAGTGGACTTTGCCCTGAACACCAAGTCGCAGCCTGGAAGAAAGCCTTTGCTGGAGCAACCAGCATGGAGAATGATCAGTCTCTCTCCTTTCCCTAGGGGCAGCTTTCTACGTGACCCCTTATCACCCCCATCGGGTACCCACTGACTGCTGGCTGTGTGCGAGGCATTGACCCAGGTCTCGCCCAAGTACACTGGCTCGAACCCTTCCTCGCAACTTCTTCTTTATAACACTGAGAAAATTATTTCTCAAGCGAACGATATCAGGGCTTTCACAGAGTACTGACCTTTTCTCCCCCGAAATTTTCTTATAACGATACCGGAAAGAGTGTAAGAGTCGCCAGAGTGTGAACTTTGATACTCTAAGGTTGTGTTCTTGCTTCAATTGCTTTTTTAAAATTTTCAGCGACATGTATTTGTTTTCAGAATAGAGCTTGTTGATAGACTGCCTTACAAGGTTCTTTTGAAAGTTGTCCAAATGTTTTAATTTGTGTGATTTTGACACGACCCCTACCTGCTTCGCATCACCCTCACAATGTTTGTGTTCCAGAACATTTGTCAGTACCCTTGCTGATACTCCTAAAGCTTTTGCTGCCCGCTTACGGAATTTATTAATGGCATAAAATGGTTTGCCGCTTTCGGCTTCAGCACGGAAATCGTACACTTTAATCATCAACTGTTTCACGTCAGCATTCAACTTCATTTTTCATCAGGCATGTGTATCCCGTGCACGACGAGATAGTGGTGGTTCCGTTTCTGCGGTTTCACCCCGCCGCAACAGATAACAACTTTTGCGTTTTCAATGATGATGGTTTCTTAAACAACTTTTTTGGTGGAGTCCAGAAAATTTTCAAATATAAGAAAGCTGTTGGGTATTAGTAAATGATAAACATGTGTACTATTTATATTTGTGTGTCAATTTTGTACTATGATCAAATTTGCAATTCATCGGTCCGTTTCTGACTCAAACGGACTGTAGGGGTTGTGACAACACTGAAAGAGTCTGCACACAAAGTTGACTCCAAGGTTTTAACACCCGGTCACAGGTGGGCTCGATCCCGGCACCTCAAGCTAGCTGGATTACAAGCCTGGCGCCTTAGCCACCTCGCCCACCATCTTGGATACTAGAAGCATTTTGTCCCTGACTCAATCACTTGTGCATGCTGGTTACATAAATAATGAGTAATGTTCCATATTAAAATAAGGAAAAATACATTATATAATCACCTGTTTGAAACCTCTCTTGTATTCATTACAAGATGTCTCAACAATGAATTTCTTGCTGAAAATATTGCACAACTTGGCACCATAACCATTACGGCCACCTGGAACAAGGGTAAAACGCATGATATTAGGAGCAGGTAACTGCAATATGTAAACCAATCATCCCAGTGGGTAGAGAAACTAACGAATATTCACTCTTTAGGAAATAGTAAAATGTTTGAACTACATGCATTGTCACTAAAGTGACATAATCCCCCACCACAAATTATCAAATCAAACTTAAAAATAATGAAAGTTTAAGATGAAGTTAAACGTCAACAAAAACATGACCAGTCAACCTCTCTTGATATCTTCTCTTTAGTTGTTCAAACACACAAATATTTTCAAGACTGACTTTGACCTTGACATGAATGTCATACTGTATGAAATATGCAAAAATGGTACTAAAGAAATTGCTTATTAAAAAACATTCAAGGGAAGTCTTGAAAGTCTATGAAGAAAATCCATTGAATTCAGGTTAACATTTTGAAATCTTCAAAGCGTCGCAGTGACCTTGAAACTTATGTGAAGGTCACCAAAATTGACTGGGCCCTGCACCTTCATTAGATGAGGCTTGGTGTCAATATGAATAAAGTCCAGTGAATGGTTCTTGAGATATCTCGCTGACCATTTTAACATGCAGGTTAACATACTGAAATCTTCAAAGTGTCGCTGTGACCTTGAAAATTAAGTGAAGGCCACCAAAATCGACTTGGCCCTGCACCTTTCCTAGATAAAGCTTGGAGTTGAATATGAAGAACATCCAGTGAATGGTTCTTAAGATAGCTTAACATGCAGGTTAACATACTGAAATCTTCAAAGTGTCGCTGTGACCTTGAAAATTAAGTGAAGGTCAACAAAATCAAGCGGGCCTTGCACTTTCCCTAGATGAAGCTTGGTGTCAAATATAATAAAGTCCAGTGAATGGTTCTTGAGATATCTCGCGGACCATTTTAACATGCAGGTTAACATACTGAAATCTTCAAAGTGTCGCTGTGACCTTGAAAATTAAGTGAAGATCAACAAACTCGACTGGGTCCTTCGCCTACCCTAGATAAAGTTAGGTGTTGAATATGAAGAAAATCCAGTGAATGGTTCTTAAGATAGCTTAACATGCTGAAATATTCAAAGTGTCGCTGTGACCTTGAAAATTAAGTGAAGGTCACCAAACCTGACTTGGACCTTTCTTATAGTAACTTATACTGTGATGAACCTAGGTACCAAATATGAAAAGAATCTAGTCAACAGTTCTTAAGATATTATAATTCGTAAGTACGGATGGAGCTTAATACCATATCCCCCGCTTTGCGCTAAACGTGCGGCAGGGGATAATAAACAGAATGTACACCTCAATGTGGCGACATCAATTGTTTAATAATTATATTAATATAAATATATTAAATATTAATGCATCACCAAAAAGACCAATAATACAATACAATTATTTACATATCTAGCTGAAGACAAGCAAGATTACCTGTGACTTTCTTCTCAGAATCGTCATAGTTACTGGAGGTCAGGAGATGACCAAAGATCATGGTGGGGACATACATCTTCTCGGTCTTATGCTCAATCACAGGAATACCTTTCCCATTGTTCCAAATTCTGATTTTGTTGTTTTCTCTGGAAAATCGAAATATGGTCAAATTCTGATATGGTACAACATCCAGAAGTGTCAAAAGTGTCGCTCAGCAGGAAGGTGGTATACCAGTTACCGGGAAAAAGGAGAGAAAGGAGAGAAAGAGAGAGAGAGAGAGAGAGAAAGAAGAGGAGTTCCAAAATGGTGGACATGGCTTTGCAAGTAGTAAGAAAAACAAACTAATTTTACCAGAGAATGGAGGCCATCCATATTTTGATTGGAACATAAAAAAATAATTGTTTGAATAGCAAAGCATTCATTGTCCAGCCATTATCACATTTGGCCCTTTAGAAGTGTGTGCTCCGTCCACCCTCTGATTTCGAATGCACAGGTACAATTGTCATCAAGAGACAAAGGCTGAGGAATCATTGTCACAACAATGTTTGTAATTGTTCAAAAATGACTTACGCATCAATGTCTATCTTCAGACAGTTCATGCCTGCATCCCTCTGTTTATTATCAGCAGCATTCACTGGAAAAGAATGGGATCCAGTGGTGAAGATTTAGATGGTGCATTCTTCATAATATCCAGTACAAGGTTGTCAGGACATTTACTATAAGGCACATGTTTATTCTGGTAGTAAATTCCAAGGTTAACCTTTGACAATTGCCAGGCTCTTGCCAGGCATCCATAGTGGTTGCAGCCCTGTCATTCATGGGCAGATAACATCTACACTGTTCAGGAGTAGCCAATGGGAGACTAATTGGAAACCCATTGGGTTTTTAGGTTTGCACCCCGGCATTTAAAGTTTCATTTCAACAAAAGCTTGAAACTTGTGATAATTTTAATCTGTTCTCCAAACAAAATAATTCTTTAAAAAATCATATTAGAATTATTACCCATGATTTCATCAAAGATCTTGTACAGTCCTGGTACAAATGTGATTTCCCTTTGGACCATACTGTCATTCACTTCATCATAAACCCACATAAGCTGCAACACAACAAATATAAAACAGTCAGCAAGGTTCATGTCTGTTATCTGGGACTCTAACCAAAGTGCCCTTGTTAGGAACACTAGACAATGATTGCAGAGTTCAAAACAGATTACTTAAAGTTTTTCTTTCAAAGCTATTTAAATTTTATATTCAATACTGTAAAATTATGCAATTAGGCTGTTTTTAATGGTCCTGTGAAAATACAAGTCACCTTGGCCAAGCCATCTTATCAGTTATAACTACATAAATATAAACATGAATTAGAGTAGTTTTACTGGTATTTGATGCAAACTTGGGGGTCGATGATCAAACTATGTGGAAGTCTAGACAAATTCTTAAAGCAAATATGTCACTACATAAAGGATAAAATAATTCAAATGTTGTGAAATTGTTTTTTATGAATAAAATGGGTGTATAAATTGCAATACCTGCAATGATAACAAGTTACATACTCAGCCAAACTGTCTACTAACCTGCGTGACAGCTTCAACAGAACCGACATACGAGTCTGGACGCAGCAGAATATGTTCGAGCTGAGATTTCTTTTGATAGATTCGCTCAACAGACAGTCTCTTGTTGCTCCCCTTCTTCCCCTGATTCTCAGCTGCCATCTCCATCATCTCTGGGGCGAAATCCCTTCCCCCAGCATCAGCAGCTTTAGACTTCGGCTTGTTCTTCTCCATAGCAGCCTTAGCTTTGGCCTGCATATTGTCAAACAGGGTCTGAAAAATAGTTACATGTTAAATCAATCTATTTTTTTCAGTCAAAACTAGAATCACATATGATATGTACAATGATTACAAGGATATCATAAATTCTAACATGTAGGTTTGGTATTGGACATAAGGTTCAGCAATGAAGTATTGAAAAATATATTCTATAACAGTGTGTTTGGTTTTAACACCAGTCATAGCAGGATTTCATCCTCATCACATCAAATTACAACTGCATTACATCATATCCTGTCTGAGTACCAATGTGCTGATACATATCTGATTTTTACAAATTGTGACGCCAAATTGGTGAGAGTAACAAATTTCTGTTCATAAGTCAGTTAGATGAAGACAGTCTACTTCCTCTAATTTAATCACCAACTATCAATATGTCAATTTACTAGCTTAGTTTTGTTTAACTATGAGTGTTTTTATCCAACCGTATTGCCTTATCCATCACTTGCGAAGAAATGAAAAAACTTGAGGATACACAAATATTAAAGACAATGACTCATTGACAGTCAGTCCCGTTTTTATATATGCAAGTAAAGTAGTATACTGTAAAAATACAGCAACTTTTGAGTAGATTTTACAGGACCAAACATGTCAATGTAGCTAATGGCTAGTAGCAGTTAATCATGTGTCTCATTTGAGATTACTTCAAAACACTGAATGTCAAAGTAATCCATAAACACTGAAAAAGTACTCTAAAACAGAAATTCCATAATGGCAAGTGACAACCTCATCAGTGATACCCATCAAGGCCACAATCAGCAAACACATGAAAAATATTATCTCCAAGATGGCAAACGTCTGATGTGACGTAAAACCCAACTCAACTCAACTAACTTGGAAACTGTTACTATGGATGGAGGCAGGAATTTGTGGACATCCCAGGCACCTGACCAAACCAACACGGTTTTTGTGTTTATGATGCCCTCAAAATACTGTGATTACACTGTGTTTAAACCGAAATGAAACTTTTGAATGCTATGACCAGGAAAAAGAATGCCCTTATTATAGTTTTTTTTGTGATTGAAACTGTGTCTTGTTATTTCTTGAGTCTTTGGAGAGATCTCTCCCCCTCTGAACTAGTAAATCTACTACTCGAAGATTAAGGTGAATCTGAGACTGTGGAGAGAATTTTCATCAATTCTTGGTATGATGTCCACTCTTTGTCAACTAACTACAGGAAACAGTCAAAATTGGTGGTTGTTACCATAATCAAATCAAATTAAAGAAGATGACAACTCACTTTAAGTGGACCTTCAGAATCCATTCTGACAAATTGGTGTCCAAAACGGTTGAAAGTGGATTTTATCCCACAAAACGTATTATTTCCCAGGAGCTTCGTGTTTCTGTAGCCCTCGAAATTATACAGCCTTCCTAACTGTAGTCGTTTCAAAATTGCCACAAGAAATCAACCAATGAAAACAGTCGACACATTCTATTTTTGTTTAGAAAACGCAACGTCCAATCAATATGCGGATAACTACCACGTGACATAAGGGTCATGACCTTTTACCTCAAGGACGGATGAATGAATTCGTTCACAACTGAAAAAATAATCACAAACACTCACAGTCCATCTCAGCTCGTTTGCTGCTGCCTCGTCAGCCATAATGTCGTAAAATTTTCTTCCCACTTAATACCTGAAAATAAACTTTTCAATTAGTTGCTGGTAACGAAACATAATGAACTGTCAGACATTTTCTTGCTGCCGCTCTAAAGACAGTGTCAGTATGTCGTTAGGAACATATCAAGCTTATATTTTTAAATGATTCTTGATCAAAATATATCAAACATGCATTCAATAGGAACATAATTTACACCGTAATTTATCACATGGCTTAGTGACAGATTTCCAGTTACGATTCAATAAAGAATTCGTGTCTGCAAGCATAAAGAACCGCGCAAGCGAAGACAATGGTTTTAAGAATTTCTGATAAGGTGCTGTCTGATTTCCGCAAATGAGTAAGTTTGATTTCTCACCACTGAAAGATAACGAAATGCGATATTTTGTGCAAAATATAATTTGACGTTTACCTTTTTTTAAAGAGATCCCCTGTCCTGACTGGAAAATGCTCAATCTGCAAATATTTTCCTATGCCCACATTATCAATCGCGGGGCGCCATGATGGTCAGGCTAAACCGGTATTCTTCTTTTTGATTGGCTATAAAAATGTGTGGTAATTTACTTTAACCAATGAAAATGTATTTTACATTATCGGAACTTTATGTGTCTCACACGAAGAAGAGTTGAAGAAAGTGACAACATCAACAAGCATGGCGTAGTTCGAAATGTCTTTATAACAATTTTATTTCCCCCGAAACATCTGCACAATTGAAATATAATGGCTGGCTCAGCGCTAAAACGTCTGATGGCTGAGTATAAACGTACACGATTCTTTCAGTAGATGTTTGTTACAATATCGAATCGAATTTTTATAGCACCTATGATAGCTGCTGCCGTCAACAGGAAAGAATTAATTTCCAAATCACTGTATGCAAGTATATTTTGCATTCATCACACTATATTAGAGGCTAATTACATAGACTGAGGCACAAGCCAATAACCACGGTTATAGCCACGCAGTTTTACTTATAGTGTTCTACCTGAGTTAAATCAATATATATATAAGATGGTTTGAAGAATATAAAATACATTCATTATCATACAACGTAAGTCTTACAATCATATTATGTTCCTGTTTGTTGAAAATACAACAGTCATTATGAAAAGTGAATATATGACTGGATTCAATAGGAAACATTAACAGTATTAATAGTACAACACAATATCACTTATGAGCCAGACTTGATAAACTCTTTTTGCATATATATGGTAACTTTGAATATAATTTATTCATGTAATTACAGAGTTGACCTTGAATCCTCCTGAGGGCATTATTGCTGGTCCAGTCAATGAGGAGAATTTCTTTGAGTGGGAAGCCCTTATTATGTAAGTTGTACATGGATATCCACAATTCTCTACTTAGCTGGGGCGGTGGGGTAGTCTAGTGGTTAAAGCGTTGACTCTTCACGCTGAAGACCCGGGTTCGAATCCCCACATGGGTACAATGTGTGAAGCCCATTTCTGGTGTCCCCCGCCGTGATGTTGCTGGAATATTGCTAAAAGTGGCGTAAAACCATACTCAGTCAGTCAGTCAGTCTACTTAGCTAACTGTACTGCTAAAGTGGAAATCATGGTAAATGGAGGATTGGGTTCCAACAGTGTGACCTTGATTGTTAGGATGGATCCTTTTGCCATTGACCACTTATCATGCTGATGTGCTGGGACTGGACTTGATTATATGAGGTATCATTAGCAGACAGAGGCATAAAAAGAAGATGTTCACATACCGATGAACAATATGAAAATACATCTAATGGGGAATGGCTGTGCCACCCCTCAAAACATAACTACTGTCTTTTATTGTACGTAGAAGATGAAGCAATGTCAGCTTTGTCATCAGACATTTTTTTATCATGTTTTGGCAACTGGGAGTCATCCTCGTAATGTTTCTTAGTAGGCAAGTTTACATAAAAACTTATCCTTTTTGTCTTGCACCTTTACAGCATAAAATGTATTTGTCGAATAGTTTCATAGCCAAAACAGTAAAGATATCACAAGTATCTAATTTATCTGTTGCATTATATCTATTCATATTTTGCACATTGAACAGAGTTCTTGTTCCAAAATAAATACACCATGGCTTATGTACCTTGCAATATGACGTCACTGGTGCCAAGTGATAAACAAATGAGTGAGTGAGTTGGGTTTTACGCCACCTTTAGGAATATTTCAGCAATATCACGTCAGGGAACACCATAAAATAGGCTTCACATATTGTACCCATGTGGGGAATCGAACACGAGTCTGCAGCGTGACTCTGCAGCTTTAACCACTAGGCTACCCAATAAACAAATGACGTCAATAGACCATAGGTACAGGTGTGTAGTTCTTGTGGCACGATGTGAAGTTTACTGTATAATTGTAATGGTACCTGGCCATCAACTGTCTAGTGTACCTCTCAGTGCCACACTGTGATGATGTTGCACAGGGAAGTTTTTTATGGATAGACAACTTCTTTATAGCAATGGATGCGACGTTTCAATGTAGATGCTAATGCCATTATCAAGCAAGTGATACATAACATTATGGACAAGGAGAATATTTACATGGAGGATATTTGATTTTATACAATTTTTATGAGGTTGATGTACATAGTGAGGACATACTAACAATTGTTGTGACAATGGATATGATTGGACGGAGTGCAGGAGATGGCTTAATCATGATTGGCCTTGATTAGATGATAGTAAGCTGTAGGGATGTAATAACATTGTTCTCTGTTAATTGTCAGGTTGAGTCTAACGCACCCATTACAAATTAAGAGAGGAATAATCGCCACCCTAGCCAGGAGAGCAAAGAACATCAGCTCCACAACCCAAGCCCGAGTTAGAACACCTTCATCATACCAGCTTGTAAATGCCACTCAAAGAAGCTTTGCAATGATGTTGCTGTAGCAAAACATGTATAGGTTGTACAATGTGTTACTTCTACATGCAGGGTAACCAAACTGTATAACATTGAACTTGAGTCAGTTTTCTTTCATATAGTATCTTCTTTATGAAAATCCAATATGTGTGTGCACTAGATCTACCTTGCCATTGGTGAATGTGCCGGTGTTCTAAGTGTACTACCTCTGTACATTTTAATCATAAAATATGTTGTCTCTTCCACACTCACTTTGATGTTGTAGAGAATATTCTGATACATTACAAATAGTGAGTGAGTATGGTTTTACTCCGCCTTAAGCAATATTCCAACTTGTCACAGCGAGGGACACCTGGCCCCGATTTCTCGAAACAAACTTAAGTTTTTACTCAAATTTCAAACTGAGTTTGACAATTTGAAACATCTGAATCTTTAACTCAACTGCATTTTTAAAATAGAAAAGCCCATACAACTTAAATAATCTATCCACAAACCCAAATTGTCTCTTATGTTTGAGTTTAATATCAATTTCAGTTCAATCTGGGAAATGCATTTTCTCAAATTTGAGTAAAAACTCTAACTTAAGTCAAAACTCAGACTTAAGTTTGTTTCGAGAAATCGGGGCCAGAAATAGGCTTTACACATTGTACCCATGTGGGAAATCAAACCCCGGTTTTCAGCATGACGAGCAGACGATTTAACTGTTAGGCTACCCTCTGCCCTACATCACAAATATAAATGTAATTCACAGTTTTGAATTCTGTGGAAGATCCTCTGTGATGTAATCCAATCATTGGACCTTTCTGTTTATTTGTTGTACAGGCATCAATTTGGGTGATGATGTTATCATAGCTATAGGTATTTGCTTTGCAAGAAGGTATGTGAAAAAACAGAGTTCATGTATAATGCGAAATGATCGAACGCAACAGCACTGGCGATTACGTGCTTGCCTCTGAAAGTGTGGGTTCGAATCTCAGACAAGATTCAACCTAAAAAAATCTTCCTGTTCTAAAAGTATGTTTTGATAGAAAATTTATTTCATTCTAAGTAATCTGCTGTTACATCTTCACGAGGAAACTTCCTGTAACTAAACGTACAAATAAACATGAAATGAAAGGAAATACTTGAGTGAATATGAATACTGCCAAAGAATAAACATAAAACAATGCTGTTTCTAATGTAGATTCATATGAAAGTAGTGACCTGTTCTGCAATGTGCTGTTGATATATCCTGTATCCAGTAAACATATCTATTCACACTTTTCTACTGAAGACAATATTGCAGCCATCATCAGAAGTATTGAAAGGGAATGCTAAATTTTAGTGAGCAAATGATATAAATATTATATATTAATGTACTATTTACAGTGGCAGGCGAAGCTTCTGTAGATAACACAAATTATCTTACCTTCATGTAAAATACTTTAAATTTCATTGGTCAATGATGCTTTAACAAGTTTCCGTGTCACCCCTCCCAGGAGAGTGACAACTGGAAAAAAATATTACCCGCTGCCACGGTAAGTGCCACAAACAAACAATTTTTATAGCAGTTTTAAGCTTGTCAGAATATGTTTCACTGATTTTAGAACTCCCGTTGAGAGGCAGACGCCATTTTGTTTACATGTTATATTGTCGATAGCGAGCTTATCGATCTTCAAAATAAAATATACTGATATTTTGTACATTTAACATGCCTTTTTGTAGCAGCGTCATCCCTCGCCTACCAGCTACAATGAGGCGTACATCAGACCGTAGTACCCTCCAGAGAAGCATACAACTTATAATAGAATTGAGTTGAAAATGAGCTTCAGGCTGTTAAGGCACACTTTTTCTTGTTCCTTTTCCCAGGGGTCCAGAGGGTACATTCTTCGAGGGTGGAGTGTTTCCAGCGAGATTGACTTTTCCAGCGGACTACCCACTGAGTCCACCAAAGATGAAGTTTACGTGTGACATCTTCCATCCAAACAGTAGGTAGACCGAATGTGACCAGTAAATAGTATCATTGAAGCTTGTAACCTGTAGAAGTATCGCTGAATACCTCCAGTTTGTTAGTTTGTTGTCTAACACCCTACTCAGACAATAGAGCTATATGACATTGATCTGATCATAAGTTAGTCGGAACCAGACAACCCAGTGGTTGACAAAATGAGAATCGTGTCATGCAACTGGGATATGATGCATCAACTAAATCAGAGATCTCTTTTGACAAGCATGGGTTGCTGACAACAAATGCTAATTTGATCTTACCTTTATGTAAAATACTTTAATTTCATTGGTCAATGACGCTTTAACTAGTTTCCGTGTCACCCCTCCCAGGAGGGTGACAACTGGAAAAAATATTACCCACTGCCACGGTAACTGCCAAACTCTCCGCCTAGAAGCTGTATCATTAACAATCTGTGACATCATAATATGGCGCATGTAGTGCACGGAGTTCCAAAAACGTTCGATCAGCTGTTTTTGTGTTCACTTTGTACAGATTTACTTTACCGACTTTCACTGCTTTATTTAAAATATTTTATACATTGAATCGTTTGCACACTCAACTTAAACATAATATTTTTCCTTATCCTGACTCATGTATTTTTGCTTGTCTCCTTTCCTTCCCGAACGTTAGTGGAACACTTGTATCTCCTTATTGAAGCTCCCTTCAATAAAACAGATGTAAAATCACTACTCACCATGAGTTATCTCCCTCACCGTTTTGGCGGGAAAACGGCGCCACCCGTCTTCCCACGCTTCACTCTCTCCTTCTTCGCCCTAGTGGACGGTTGGGAGAGCACCTGTGTCTCCAATACGACACTATATCCTTTGATTAATTAGTTATTACCCTATATATTACCTTTATAGGGGTTTAGGGAGTATCCTTCAACAATATGGTTTGAAATTTATTCATAATTTGACTGTTTATTCACGGTTTTGTACATGATTGTTCAGTTGTTTACATTTCATGAAAACCTGTTTTCGTTGTAGGTTTAGGTTCTCTGCTGCAGACCCGCATTTATTGTGCCCTAGCTGCACAGCAACATGTACTTCCAGCTCTCGCTGTAATCTTTGTCAGCATTTAACAAAAATTCAATTTAATAAATATTTATTCTCTGTAATTAGGCATGCTAGCGACAAATCCAGGTGACTTTTACAAGTCATGGATAAACCGGTTGAGTCCTTCACGAGCTGTCTATCGTTGTCAGACGACTTACTTCCATCAAGTGACCTGCCGGAGATGTCCTCGGAGGATGGGCGTGGGATGTTGTACGCCACTTCGAAGAAGAGGGCTTCTACATCGGACAACCCCTCAACGCAGATGAAGAAGAAGAAGCCTTCCTCTACGCAGAAAAAGCCTCACAGCCCTAAGACGTCTAACAGCTCTACGGGGACGTCTGCGCAGACTACAAGGACCTTTTCGGCCGAGATCGTCCCGATGGAAGAGAGAGGACTATATGATGAGCCGCCACTGATCATCCCTGAGATACAGCATAAGAGGACGGTTACGTCAGCAGATCTATCTACGCAGTCCGAGGTACCATCTACACTGGCGGCAGATGAGCGATCCCTGGACCAAATCGCTACCAGCGCAGAGAGGGCAGCTCTTCAATCATCGCAGACGTTCAACCCCGGGGCCTTCATGCAGCAGTTCTCTCAGCAGATAATGGAGATGATGGAGAAGCGCTACGCGCAGGAAAGAGCATCACATCAGCCACAGGGCTCCCATGCTCAAGCGCAGGTCTCCGCGGAGGTCGCCCCATAGAGGCAGCTCAACGGGTTCATCTCCACGCAGATCTCCACGCAGATCACCACACAGATCCCCAGCGAAGGACGATCAACCATCTCATAACAGTGGACCTGATACAGAGGACGACGGCTGTATCATCTTCTCGGACTCAGAGATAAAATATTGGATGGCTAATGGACTGGACTTAGCGTCACCCTCTAAGGAAGAGAATGCAGCACTCACGTACCTAATGAAGGACGATGATGTCGACACGATCACTCTACCGCCAATTGATCCCATCTCGGAAGTACCAGAGAATTTGGATGCAGCCTTCAGGAAGGCAACGAAGTCTCAGGCTCCAAATATCCCACAGTTCAACGCAAAGAAGTTCTCGCTACACAACATGGACCCCTTCATGAAGGCACAAGAAATCGATGACAACTATAAGATCATCAACGACGCCCGGACCAAATCTTACAAGATTGAGGACAAAAAGCTGGCGCAGATAGACACGATGACCAGAAGGATGTGCTTCGGACTGAACAGATCCAGGGCAGTGAATGAGACGCTCATCGCCAAGTTCAGGGACTCTACTTCAGAGGAGGACCGGATGATCTATTCTGCTCTACTCACGCAGAAGAAGGACCAGCAGTTTATGACGGACCATCTATCATCCATATCAGCAGCGTTGACGTTAGCTAGAAGACAGGGACTACTGTCATCCTGCAACTGGAGCGAACGCTTCACGAAGTCGCTGTACAGAGCCCCATTGACGCCGCCGCCAAGGAAGTCACGAAGGACTCCAGGGAGGTCTTAATGATCAAGTCCATCGATACACTAGCCAGTGTCATCAGGCAGACGTCCGAGCACTACTCGGGCAAGTCCAAGTTTGCAGGCATCCAGAAAGCAAGAGCGAAGAAAATGGTGACCTCCAGAGGAGGAAAGGACTCTTTTCGTCGCCCAGCCGGCAACTATAGAGGACAATCCGGACGAGGCAGGGCACCCAGAGGTGCCAGAGGCTATAGACGTTGAAGGAGGGGTTCGGAACGACTGGAGTCTTCCACCCCCCAGCCGTTCCTGTACAACCTTCACAAGTGGGTGGACGTCTACAAAGCTACTGGGAGAACTGGGGAATTCTTCAAGATCCATTTGTATCCAACATCCTAAGAGACGGATATCGCATACAACTACAAGCAGCTCCGCCATTAACAGACAAACCTCAGAAGTTCGACTTTACAACCCATCGGACAGAAAGGCTACGAGAAGCAGTCACATCTCTACTAGAGAAGGATGCCATAGAAGTGGTGGACCAGGACCAGATCTCACCAGGATTCTACTCCCCAGTTTTCCTAGTTCCAAAGAAAAACTCCAAAGAAAAGTTCCGACTAATCTACAACATGAGGGCATTCAACAGAGATTATCTACGCAAACCACAAAGGTTCAGCATGATTCATCTACCACAACTACTACATCTCGTACGTCCGATGGACCACATGGCCAGCATAGATCTACAGGACGCATACCTGCATATTCCTGTACATCCGGACTCAAGGAAGTACCTGAGGTTTATACTGGACGGACGACACTACCAATGGAAGGTGCCATTTGGAATATCATCGGCCCCCTGGTTGTTTACAAGAGTGACGAAGCCCATAGTCACATACCTACATCATCGAGGTCTACGCAGTGTGTTCTACCTAGACGACGGGATTCAAGTTCATCAAGATCCCAATCATCTCAGACTACAGCTGGACTTCACCATCAGACTGCTCACACAACTGGGGTGGCTAGTGAATCTCTTAAAGTCGGACCTAGAACCTACACAGGACCTGCAGTTCCTAGGAATCCGGTTCATCACAACAGAAAACCGGATAGCAGTACCAGAGGACCGATGGCTAAAGATACAACAGATGATATCGCAAAGCTCTACTCTCTCTGTGGCCACTACGACAGTGGCAGAATCTCTTGGGTCTCCTTACGTCAGCACAAGACATGACACGCAGAGGGAGACTACAACTACGCCCACTACAGGTCTTCGTGAATGCTCATCTGGACGACCTGGACCCCTTCAGACTCCCAGACGGACTAAAACCAAATCTACTATGGTGGACCCAGAGATCGAATGTTTGCGGAGGCACCTATTTAGCAGAGCCGGAGTGCAAGACGCATCTCTACGCGGACGCATCTCTCCAAGGATGGGGAGCACACCTCGACAACGAAGTGTCAGCTGGGACATGGACCATAGAGGAGAAAGATCTGCACATCAACATGCTGGAAATGAAAGCAGTGATAAATGCCATACTCCACTGGACCAGCATTCTGGAGAATGCTCATCTGACAGTACATACGGACAACTCCACAGTGGCGTTCTACATAAACAGACAAGGATCAACAAGGTCGGCGAACCTTCTGGACCTCTGCTTTCAACTGTTCAGCTTAACAGACAACCTGAACATCCACATAAGAGCATGCCACATTCCAGGAGCCAAGAATGTGATAGCAGACGCACTATCCCGTCCAACGCAGCCATCCCCAACAGAATGGATGCTACATCCGGAGATCTTCAAGCAGATCATACAAGAGATGGCGCCACTAATAGACCTATTTGCCACATGATTCAACAATCAACTCATAACATTCGTCTCACCAATACCAGATCCACGAGCATGGGCAACAGACGCTCTAAGCATCTCCTGGAAAGGACTAAACGCTTATGCGTTTCCACCACCAGCTCTAATACCAAGGGTGTTGCAGAAAATCAGTCAGACGAAGATCCTACAACTGATTTTGGTCGCGCCTTACTGGCCAGCGAGAATATGGTTCCCCATTCTCATATAAGAACTAGGACCGCCTCAACTGCAACTACCAGAGTGGTCGAATCTGCTAGTACATCCTCACACAAAGCAAGCACACGGCAACCCAGAGGTGTTCCGGCTACACGTGTGGACTGTATCAAGGCGTGCTTGAACATGAGAGGATATTCCGCCAGGGCAGCGAAAGCAGTCACACTAGCTCTACGCAAGTCTACACGCAACTTGTACGACGACAAGTGGCGACGATTCGAGACATACGCTTTGAAGAACGGCTTCACAGCCATAAAAGCGACACACCCTCAAGTGGCGGACTACCTTTGTCACCTAAGACAAACGAAGCGGTTAAAAGGGTCAACACTCTCAACATACCTAGCGGCATTGAGCTCAGTTATCACCATGAGGACGAGTGCAAAACTGACAAAAGTACCAGAGTTACTGGCCTTGCTACGCTCTTTTAAACTGGAGTACCAACAGCAGAGATTTAAAGCTCCGGCGTGGGACCTCAACGTAGTCCTACGACATCTCACCAGTGACGTTTATGAACCATTAGATAAGACATCTTTTGAGTTCTTGATGCAGAAGACGCTGTTCCTGATCGCCTTAGCTACAGCAGCAAGGATGTCGGAAATACATGCTCTGGACTTTGAGAGAACACGGTTTGATGAAAATCAAAACATCGTGCATATGGGACTGAGATGGGACTTCATAGCAAAGAATCAACTGCCAGGTCAACCGGACAGACAGTTCCACATCCCAGCACTATCATCAGTCCTTGGACCACAGGATACGCACGACCTATCCTTATGCCCAGTGAGAGCATTGAAAGTCTACCTACAAAGATCTAAGACCAGGAGACGAAAATTCAAGCGTCTTTTCGTCCCGATATCGACAGCGACACAGACGGAGGGCTCACGCACTACGATATCTATCTGGATCAGAACTGTCATACTACGGGCCTACAAAGCAGCAGGACTTGATCCTCCAAGAGCCTACAACCCACATGAAGTTAGAGCTCTGGCGTCAACACTCGCTCTACACGGAAATTGCTCTATCAGGACGATAATGGAGGGCTGCTTCTGGAAATCGGACATGGTGTTTGCCAACCATTACCTGAGGGACATCGCCACCGAGGACGTCTGCGGGATTCACCATTTCGGCCCACTTGTTGTTGCACAACAATTGACAGTCCCTCAAAGGCGCTGAGATGGAGTCTCGCCCTTTTATCACATGACTTGCAAAAGCCTACACTCAGGAGAGTTCAGCTTATAGTCTATATGCACGTCTAAGACAGACTAGCATAAGTGATATGACCTGTACTTGTAAGGATACTCGTACAGGAAAGGGTCCCTTCTCCACTTGATGCTCACATCAAGAGATGGAGTTGCAAAATCCACATAAAATGTTAACAGAAGCAAGGACCAAAAGTTAACAATTGTGGTCCCCCCATCAGAGAAAGCTGGAAGTAAAGGGTTACAGCAGCAGCAGAGCATAGCAGTAAAATAGAAGTTCCCATAGGGGTGTATGCAAGATGTAAATCACTTCATGGAATCCAGAAGTGGCTTGACCCACCACCAAATCCGACGGATTCTACAAGCAAAAATACATGAGTCAGGATAAGGAAAAATATGTAATTTTCTGAATAAAATTGATATTTTATACTTATCCTGACTCATGAGGTAAGCCCTCCCAACCTCCCCACTAGACACTTTTGGATTTCCCTGTAAATTAAAGTGTCGGGCTATTAATTCGGAGAGAGTGAAGCGTGGGAAGACGGGTGGCGCCGTTTTCCCGCCAAAACGGTGAGGGAGATGACTCGTGGTGAGTAGTGATTTTACATCTGTTTTATTGAAGGGAGCTTCAATAAGGAGATACAAGTGTTCCACTAACGTTCGGGAAGGAAAGGAGACAAGCAAAAATACATGAGTCAGGATAAGTATAAAATATCAATTTTATTCAGAAAATTACATTATCCATTTTTATAGCTGTTTTTAGCTTTTCAGAATATGTTTTTCACTGATTTTAAAAATCCAGTCGAGAAACAGACGCCATTTTGTTTACATATCTTAACATATATTATATTTTAAAATGGCGGTAAGATAAATATGTTGTATGCTTCTCCCTCGGGTAATACAGTCTGATGTACTCCTTTCTGCAGCAATGTCTTCCCTCGCCTACCGGCTCGGGTGACACTGCTACAAACAGGCGTACATCAGACCATATTACTCTCGAGAGAAGCATACAACTTATAGAGTGGTCATCTTTGTAAACATGACTTAGTACCATAGTTAACATTACTGAATATATAGACAGAATCTGCAGACTTGAAACTGACAGAATGTTTCAATTCCTTGCTGACATGATATATATGCTTATAGATCTATGAGTTCTGAGCCGACCTTTTGAAATGTTTCACTGTGTTTTCCCTGCCATGTTTCAGTCTACCCGGATGGCCGGGTCTGCATATCAATCCTGCACGCTCCCGGGGATGATCCGATGGGGTACGAGACGAGTGCCGAGCGGTGGAGCCCTGTACAGAGTGTGGAGAAAATATTGCTGTCAGTTGTCAGCATGTTGGCAGGTAAGCCACAGGGATATCTGAACAGCAATGGGACACCAGGGTGTTTTAAAACTGGCATAACTTGGTATTTCTTATGCTTGTGCATCACATATTTTAGTATTTACCTGTATTTGTTAACTCATCTTTCACAATTTAGCATGCTGATATTTGCCTTCACTTGGGATGTGCCCTTAGCCTTGGACAATGCTGAGTAAAGAGGAACATTACACTCCATGGCATAAAGGAGAACACAGGCTTCTTGTATTTGTGAATAGAAACAATCCTTCATGTACAGAGGTGTGTTCCCTTTTGGTACCTTAAATGCCATCTGATGCAGTGAGGACTAAGACTTATACCCTGTCAACCAGTTATCAACTGTGACCACCTGTTTTTGGTTCAGTTACTTACCATTGGGCTATGGTCTTTAAAACGTTTGAAGTGACAGATCCACTAAGATAATTATGGCCATCTTATTTTGGTTCAGCAAGGGTGTCATACACATCAGTAGTGTGTCCTGTGCCCGCCTTTGTGTGTCCTGGCCCACCTCTGTGTGTCTTGGCCCGCCTCTGTGTGTCCTGGCCCGCCTCTGTGTGTCCTGGCCCACCTCTGTGTGTCCTGGCCCACCTCTGTGTGTCCTGGCCCGCCTCTGTGTGTCCTGGCCCACCTCTGTGTCCTTCCCCACCTCTGTGTGTCCTGGCCCACCTCTTTGTGTCCTGGCCAACCTCTGTGTGTCCTGGGCTGCCTCTGTGTGTAATGGCCATCCTCTGTGTGTCCTGGCCCGCCTCTGTGTGTCCTGGCATGCCTCTGTGTGTCCTGGCCCACCTGTGTGTCCTGGCCCACCTCTGTGTCCCTGGGCCTCACCTCTGTGTCCTGGCCCACCTCTGTGTGTCCTTCCCCACCTCTGTGTGTCCTGGGCTGCCACCTCTGTGTGTCCTGGCCCTCCTCTGTGTGTCCTGGCCCTCGCCTCTGTGTGTCCTGGCCTGCCTCTGTGTGTCCTTCCCCACCTCTGTGTGTCCTGTCCTGCCTCAGTGTGTCCTGGCCTGCCTCTGTGTGTCCTGGCCCACCTCTGTGTGTCCTTCCCCACCTCTGTGTGTCCTGGCCTGCCTCTGTGTGTCCTGGCCTGCCTCTGTGTGTCCTGGCCCGCCTCTGTGTGTCCTGCCCCTCCTCTCTGTGTCCTGGGCTGCCTCTGTGTGTCCTGGCCTGCCTCAGTGTGTCCTGGCCCGCCTCTCTGTGTCCTGCCCCTCCTCTCTGTGTCCTGGGCTGCCTCTGTGTGTGGCCCACCTGCCCTCCTCTGTGTGTCCTGGCCTGCCTCAGTGTGTCCTGCCCTCTCTCTGTGTCCTGGCCTGCCACTCTGTGTGTCCTGGCTGCCTCTGTGTGTCCTGGCCTGCCTCTCTGTGTCCTGGGCTGCCTCTGTGTGTCCTGTCCTGCCTCTGTGTCCTGGCCTGCCTCTGTGTGTCCTGGCCCTCCTCTGTGTGTCCTGCCCTCCTCTGTGTGTCCTGTCCTGCCTCAGTGTGTCCTGGCCTGCCTCAGTGTGTCCTGGCCCGCCTCTCTGTGTCCTGCCCCTCCTCTCTGTGTCCTGGGCTGCCTCTGTGTGTCCTGCCCCTCCTCTGTGTGTCCTGGCCCACCTCTGTGTGTCCTGCCCCTCCTCTGTGTGTCCTGGCCCACCTCTGTGTGTCCTGCCCTCCTCTGTGTGTCCTGGCCCACCTCTGTGTGTCCTGGCCCCACCTCTGTGTGTCCTGGCCCCTCCTCTCTGTGTGTCCTGGGCTGCACCTCTGTGTGTCCTGGCCCTCCTCTGTGTGTCCTGGCCCACCTCTGTGTGTCCTGCCCTCCTCTCTGTGTGTCCTGGCCCACCTCTCTGTGTCCTGCCCCTCCTCTGTGTGTCCTGGCCCACCTCTGTGTGTCCTGCCCCTCCTCTGTGTGTCCTGGCCCACCTCTGTGTGTCCTGGCCTGCCTCTGTGTGTCCTGGCCCACCTCTGTGTGTCCTGTCCCTCGTCTGTGTGTCCTGGCCCACATCTGTGTGTCCTGGCCCGCCTCTGTGTGTCTCTGGCCCACCTCTGTGTGTCCTGGCCCACCTCTGTGTGTCCTGGCCCACCTCTGTGTGTCCTGGCCTGACTCTGTGTGCCCTGGCCCACCTCTGTGTGTCCTGGCCCACCTCTGTGTGTCCTGCCCCTCCTCTGTGTGTCCTGGCCCACCTCTGTGTGTCCTGGCCCGCCTCTGTGTGTTCTGGCCCACCTCTGTGTGTCAAATTAAACTGAGGCCTCCAGTCTCATATAAAAAAACGCAAGGCTAAGCCCACAGTCCCATTGCAGCAGTTCTACATCATGCAGTAGCAACTTCTCTCAGGATTGTATGGTTTATAATAATTAAACTCCATGTTGTGCAGGCATACTCTAAGCACATAATGGACATTATTGCCATGGTTAACCTAAGCTGCCTGTGAGGCACAGGCATGTTAGCAGTCACATGATCATCTTGTCCACCAGGTACCCATTTTGAACAAACTCGCTTGCCTAAGGTTAGACCACATGTATCAGATGTGCTTGTTGTGGGGCAGAACTGAAGTCGTAGAAACTCTCAAGAGTCAAGCTGCCAAAAATGGCCACCCATCCAAGCACTCTCTGTAGCCAATGCTGCTTATCATCAACTGATTTGTGACCTGGGCTCTATGCACATGACCACCAGAATGTTATGCTTCATGGTTTGTTTTGACTGATAGGTTGCAACGATGGTTTGAAACATTCCTCATGCTCTCACCCACTAGGTGTTTATCCAGATCTTACTGTTTACAGGCAGCTGTGATATTGTTGGAAATGCCAGCTAATAGCTTAAAGAACATTTACTCATTCAACCATTTGATGTTTCAGAACCGAATGATGAGAGTGCAGCAAACGTCGATGCAGCGAAGACATGGAGGGAGGACAGACAGAAGTTTGAGGATATAGCCTCACGCACTGTTCGAAAGTCACTGGGATTATAACTGAAATTCTGAAAGATTTATTAAAGGTGCAATAATAAACAATAACTGTATACAAACATACAGCTTGTATCTCGGAAGTTTACATCCAGGAAAAAGGGCATTGACAGAGACAATAGTTGCCTTGCCCAACTGGGGAGTTCTGTTACAAGGGAGGTAACTCTTGATGGCTTTGGTTCTGTTCATGTCAAAACTTCTGTGTCACACTTTAATAATTAAGGATAGTTAATATTATGTCACAGTTATGTCAAATTCATGACACAAACAGACTTGTAGTCATGAGCTGACACAAAACTGATTTTACCTATAATAAAGCTCAATCGAATGAAAGTGTTGTCACGATTATTTGGGATAGTTTGTATTTAGAGAAATGTATTTTTTGATTGGTTGTATGTCTTCACAGCAGTGATGCTAAGCTTGGTGCATGGTTGACTACATCTGTTCAAAAGCAACGACTGGCTTTAACCGTTTTGTTTTGTTGGCAAGTTATATTGTGTTTTTCACCAACTTGTATGAGCTATTTTACTCTCCATCTGTTGCCTATCACTTCTTGGAGACAAGACTATGAGTATCCATACAAGAAATGTACAGTTCTGTTAGCCAATCTGTATATCATTCTGGTTTCTTCATGAAGAAACAGAACCTTGTTGAAAGGACAAACCTGATTTGTGAACACACTGTTGCTGGACACTATTTACAGATGTCAACAGAAGTATATTAAAATTAACATAATTTAACTCTTAACTACAAAAGAAGTTCAGTAATCCTTAATACCAACCATCCACTTCACCAAATTCAAACTTTTCTGTACATGGATGTTCTATTTAGAGAGACCGCCTCCGTGGTGTATTGGTTAGAGCGTCCGCCTGGAGAACGGAAGGTCGCGGGTTCGATCCCAGACCGACTGCGTCATACCAAAAGACGTTAAAATATGGTACTTGTTGGTCCCTGCCTGGCTCTCGGCATTAATGGGTACAACAAGGACTGGTCGGCTCGGAGTCAGTATAATGTGTCTGAGTGGGGTATTCATGCTTCACTGCGGCATGGTATCTCAGTGGGCTAGCACTATAAAACCAGCTTCAGTCTGGGCTGGTACAAACAGCTGCACATACACATACAAACGCATGCACATCGTCATATGAGCGAAATATTCTCAAGCATGACGTAAAACCCAATTTCCCCTCCTCACCTCTAGAGAAATACAGGCAAGTTGAGTCACTGGTGGAAGCATCAGCGTCTTCCCTTTCCATTATGTAATTGCTACATAATTATGGTCTTGTTTTAAAAATCCTTTTAAGGAAGATTTGGTGCATCATATGTGATAAGTTTGGTTGTTTTGTAGGTGTATGTTAACTGATCTTCACAGAACTCTCTTGGTTATGCCTAATAACTGCCTTCAACCGCCATAGAACCATAAATAAGGTCTATAGAAATGGTCTGGTTTCTAAATATTTCATCCTAAGTTCTGTAAAAAATTGCACAACGCATAGCTCATTACAGAGACCTTATAAGATCATAGAACCTTTCTTATTGTATAAACCTTACTGTCACTGCAACCTGACTCGATCGAGGCGCCTATTTACGCTATGTTTCTTTTGTTTATTGTTATTCACTTATTTGTCTGATGGCCATGTGAAACTAAATACGTAAGTACAGTTCATTTTATCTCCCAAGATGTGTGTCCAGACTCTATTATGTACAGACTACAGCCATCAAGCTGGAATATTGCTGAGTGTGGCATAAAACTAAACTCACTCACTCACCCACTGACTCATATTTATAAGCAGATGATGAAAAAGGGTATAGCACATATAATGTGGGATTTGTTTTCATCACAGGTTTGTTTGCAATGTTTTGATGTTGCGTCATTAGGTTATAGCTGTGTCTGAGGGAGTCCAGATATACAATCTAGGCTCACCTCTCATCAGAACACATTGTGGATAGTTCTGTTTCATGACAATTGGTCAGATGTCCATCCAACAACTGAAATAATGTGGTTTAGGGAACAGAACTATTATTTAGGCTTAAAGTATATATAAGACAGTCTTCTTGTATGATGAGCGAATGCTTTGTTACTGATTATGTAACTAGGCTTTTATGGAGTGGTAAAAAGTTGGTGAACCAACTCTTCAGCTTGAGATATTGCACCCTCAAGTATGTTATGCCCTGATATTGCTCTTGTTTTGCACATAATCACAGGCAAACTAACATCCTGTGATATATCTGCGACAGATACTGATATGTTGCCATGGTTACTAAGTGGACACTGTTCATGTAATATATATTTAATGTCAGCTGTTCATGAAAATAAACTGAAGTATGGAAATATTTCCTGAAGTAGTCAATATTTTGTTCCAAATTGTTGGTTCACCAGCATGAAAGGATCACATGATTTTTGTCGTGTGCTCTGTATAACCTGAACATCACAATGTCAGCAGTTTCTGGCAGCTAGAGGGGCGGTGTGGTAGCCTGGGAGTTAATGTGAGTGAGTATGGTTTTACGCAGCTTTTAACAACATTTCACCAATATAGTCGGGGACACCAGAAATGGGCTTCACACATTGTACCCATGTGGGGAATCGAACCCGGTTCTTCGGCATGAGGAGCAAACGCTTTAACAACTAGGCTACCCCACCACCCCTTGTTACTGTGTTTCTGCATTTAATTCACCCTCACATTAATTTAAAGATTTACAGTAACCACTCCCATCGTAGGTCAAATTCCATATGGGTCTGTTTGGACACAGAAGTACAAAGTCATTTCTAACCGGGATTTTGACCCGTTCAGGATAATCATCAAATGAATCGCTATTTTAAGAACGCAGTGAACGAAATAATATAAAAAACTAACAGCTCTATAATGGGGACACTGGATTTATAAGGGCTCTTAAGGGAAAGACGAGTGAGATTTATGATCCGTCAGTGTAACGTTATCCGAAACGTATGTACCGAATGTAATATATGTGTTGATAGATGACAAGAAACTCCTATACATATTTTACACTCCCTCAGAAGAGAGTGTGGTCGTTTGGCTCATGTTCACCTGGACTTACCACGAGCAGCTATACGCCCTTGTGGGTGTGATGTATTTACAACATTCTCAACGTCATGCGTGACACCAACAAACTCGATCTTGGCGTTTTGCATGTGGGTATTTCACCAAGAAGATACGAGTGTTGATAGAGAAGCTCTTGGTCTCACACAGAACGAACTGCGTAATAGTGAAATCTTTGTGTGAACATTACATGATCGAATGAGCACCGTCCTGTTCCTCTTCAGTAGTAATGACAATGACAATAACGAATCCTGTAAGAAATGACAATCAAGAAGTCCATCAGTTATGACAATCAAGAATCACCACCGTCTGTAATGACTCTTAAAATCAACGTCAGTTATCAAAGTCAAGAATGCTCAATCTGTAATGACAACCAAGTGACAAGTCAGTCAGTAATCGAGAATTCCCAACAGTATTGACAATCGAGAAAAATCCGTCTGTAATGACAATTGAGAATCATCGTCTTTTATGACAATCTAGAATCACCGTCTGCAACGACAATAGAGAATCACCGCCTGTAATGATAGCCAAGAATCGCCGTCAGTAATGACAATCTAAAATCACTGCATGTAATGACAATCTAAAATCACTGCATGTAATGACAATCTAAAATCACTGCATGTAATGACAATCTAAAATCACTGCATGTAATGACAATCTAAAATCACTGCATGTAATGACAATCTAAAATCACTGCATGTAATGACAATCTAAAATCACTGCATGAAAGGCAATCTAAAATCACTGCATGTAATGACAATCGAGACGTCTGAACATTGTGACAGTCGATAATCACCGTCTGTTTTGACAATCTAGAATCACCCCTTCAATCTCCTGTTCAAGAGTTAAGATTCCTGGTCACAAGACCAGTACTTGTCACAGAGCAGACGTCAGGGACTGAAGACACGAAAATGACACTGACAAAGGCTGACAAGTGAGGCGTCTGACAAAATATGGGACGTGCAAGGTGCGCACCGCCAGCACCCGCTATGAACATCTGCAAGAGATTCCCCACCAGTCCCTAGGGTAAAGACAGTCGACATTGACAGACAATACACCTGCAGAATGCCGTCACAGAAATATGACACGCAACATTCAGTCAGTAATGACAGGAAATATTCCTCGATGGTGGCCGATTTTATCTCGTACCACTGATATCCGAGGCAGGTGACTAGTTCAGACAAGCATTGATCAAACACCTACTAGCTGACGTGATCAAGGCGCAGGCAGAACGCAACGACACTGAGAGTCACGTGATCGTTTTGCTACAACTTGTGGGTAAACAATGCCTTGTTGGTTCAAATATTCTTACTGAAATTTACAACTAAGAGCGTGCACCTCTTATCGGCCGAAGGGACGTTGTTAGAGGCATACCGGCCCGAGGATTCCGGCCGTGGAGTCATTGATGTGATCATCCTGTAGAATCTATACGGCATGGATTGGGAAGGTAGAATGCAAGACGTGTATTCTGGCACCGTAAGTAATTGTGATATATCTGATTCTACCCAGTTACTATTCGAGGAAGCTTTAAACGTACCATAAATTGATATTGAGGGCCGATCAGGGTTTCAAATTGCGGAGAGAGAATTCTTATATTAAAGGAATAGCAATTTACCAATTGACAGTCTTCATATGTTGTCGACTGATTACCTTGATGTGGTGAAGTTGGATATAGTGTAGGCCAGCAATTATATTATTGATTGTAAAATTATTGTTGTTTATTTTAAACGTTTGTTGTTGTCTGCGTTTTTACGACATACTGAAAGTTTCCAAAATATTAGCGCAAAAGAATAGACAAAAGAAAAAAAAGACAAGAAAACAAGAAAAATATTATTTTAACAAAAGTGCAGGATTGTACTTTCAGTGTTTAATATTTGTTGGATCCACAGTCTTTATAGTTTTAGTCATTCTCAGCTTTTCTAGTTTACGTTTCACCTCTTAAATCAATTTTCCGTAATGGGGAAGTAGTGAGAATAAAAACATGAGAATCTTATGTATAATACGTATCTTATATATAATGTCAGATTAACTTGTGCAAAATGCACGTCCAGAACGACCGATGGATTCAAGGGCTCAGACGTCATCATAATTGTTGTAATTTCAAAGGAGATAATTACGTTTTAAATTGAATTGGTACAATTTAAAAACATAGTCGATCTGAGTTGTGGCATGGCACCCAATGATAAGACTGTTCAGCAACCAGTGTTGTGACTTGCTACTCAAACAGTAGACCGTTCAGCAACCAGTGTTGTGACTTGCTACTCAAACAGTAGACTGTTCAGCAACCAGTGTTGTGACTTGCTACTCAAACAGTAGACTGTTCAGCAACCAGTGTTGTGACTTGCTACTCAAACAGTAGACTGTTCAGCAACCAGTGTTGTGACTTGCTACTCAAACAGTAGACTGTTCAGCAACCAGTGTTGTGACTTGCTACTCAAACAGTAGACCGTTCAGCAACCAGTGTTGTGACTTGCTACTCAAACAGTAGACTGTTCAGCAACCAGTGTTGTGACTTGCTACTCAAACAGTAGACTGTTCAGCAACCAGTGTTGTGACTTGCTACTCAAACAGTAGACCGTTCAGCAACCAGTGTTGTGACTTGCTACTCAAACAGTAGACTGTTCAGCAACCAGTGTTGTGACTTGCTACTCAAACAGTAGACTGTTCAGCAACCAGTGTTGTGACTTGCTACTCAAACAGTAGACTGTTCAGCAACCAGTGTTGTGACTTGCTACTCAAACAGTAGACTGTTCAGCAACCAGTGTTGTGACTTGCTACTCAAACAGTAGACCGTTCAGCAACCAGTGTTGTGACTTGCTACTCAAACAGTAGACTGTTCAGCAACCAGTGTTGTGACTTGCTACTCAAACAGTAGACTGTTCAGCAACCAGTGTTGTGACTTGCTACTCAAACAGTAGACCGTTCAGCAACCAGTGTTGTGACTTGCTACTCAAACAGTAGACTGTTCAGCAACCAGTGTTGTGACTTGCTACTCAAACAGTAGACTGTTCAGCAACCAGTGTTGTGACTTGCTACTCAAACAGTAGACTGTTCAGCAACCAGTGTTGTGACTTGCTACTCAAACAGTAGACTGTTCAGCAACCAGTGTTGTGACTTGCTACTCAAACAGTAGACTGTTCAGCAACCAGTGTTGTGACTTGCTACTCAAACAGTAGACTGTTCAGCAACCAGTGTTGTGACTTGCTACTCAAACAGTAGACTGTTCAGCAACCAGTGTTGTGACTTGCTACTCAAACAGTAGACTGTTCAGTAACCAGTGTTGTGACTTGCTACTCAAACAGTAGACTGTTCAGCAACCAGTGTTGTGACTTGCTACTCAAACAGTACAGTGTTCAGCAACTGTTCAGCAACCAGTGTTGTGACTTGCTACTCAAACAGTAGACTGTTCAGCAACCAGTGTTGTGACTTGCTACTCAAACAGTAGACTGTTCAGCAACCAGTGTTGTGACTTGCTACTCAAACAGTAGACTGTTCAGCAACCAGTGTTGTGACTTGCTACTCAAACAGTAGACCAAAGCAACCAGTAGACCGTTCAGCAACCAGTGTTGTGACTTGCTACTCAAACAGTAGACTGTTCAGCAACCAGTGTTGTGACTTGCTTGCTACTCAAACCAGTAGACTGTTCAGCAACCAGTGTTGTGACTTGCTACTCAAACAGTAGACCGTTCAGCAACCAGTGTTGTGACTTGCTACTCAAACAGTAGACTGTTCAGCAACCAGTGTTGTGACTTGCTACTCAAACAGTAGACTGTTCAGCAACCAGTGTTGTGACTTGCTACTTAAAACAGTAGACTGTTCAGCAACCAGTGTTGTGACTTGCTACTCAAACAGTAGACTGTTCAGCAACCAGTGTTGTGACTTGCTACTCAAACAGTAGACTGTTCAGCAACCAGTGTTGTGACTTGCTACTCAAACAGTAGACTGTTCAGCAACCAGTGTTGTGACTTGCTACTCAAACAGTAGACTGTTCAGCAACCAGTGTTGTGACTTGCTACTCAAACAGTAGACTGTTCAGCAACCAGTGTTGTGACTTCAAACAGTACTTCAAACAGTAGACTGTTCAGCAACCAGTGTTGTGACTTGCTACTCAAACAGTAGACTGTTCAGCAACCAGTGTTGTGACTTGCTACTCAAACAGTAGACTGTTCAGCAACCAGTGTTGTGACTTGCTACTTAAACAGTAGACTGTTCAGCAACCAGTGTTGTGACTTGCTACTCAAACAGTAGACCGTTCAGCAACCAGCGTTGTGACCATTCTACTCAAACAGTTGACTGTTCAGCAACCAGTGTTGTGACTTGCTACTCAAACAGTAGACTGTTCAGCAACCAGTGTTGTGACTTGCTACTCAAACAGTAGACCGTTCAGCAACCAGTGTTGTGACTTGCTACTCAAACAGTTGACTGTTCAGCAACCAGTGTTGTGACTTGCTACTCAAACAGTAGACTGTTCAGCAACCAGTGTTGTGACTTGCTACTCAAACAGTAGACCGTTCAGCAACCAGTGTTGTGACTTGCTACTCAAACAGTAGACTGTTCAGCAACCAGTGTTGTGACTTGCTACTTAAACAGTAGACTGTTCAGCAACCAGTGTTGTGACTTGCTACTCAAACAGTAGACTGTTCAGCAACCAGTGTTGTGACTTGCTACTCAAACAGTAGACTGTTCAGCAACCAGTGTTGTGACTTGCTACTCAAACAGTAGACTGTTCAGCAACCAGTGTTGTGACTTGCTACTCAAACAGTAGACCGTTCAGCAACCAGTGTTGTGACTTGCTACTCAAACAGTAGACTGTTCAGCAACCAGTGTTGTGACTTGCTACTCAAACAGTAGACCGTTCAGCAACCAGTGTTGTGACTTGCTACTCAAACAGTAGACTGTTCAGCAACCAGTGTTGTGACTTGCTACTCAAACAGTAGACTGTTCAGCAACCTGTGTTGTGACTTGCTACTCAAACAGTAGACTGTTCAGCAACCAGTGTTGTGACTTGCTACTCAAACAGTAGACTGTTCAGCAACCAGTGTTGTGACTTGCTACTCAAACAGTCGACTGTTCAGCAACCAGTGTTGTGACTTGCTACTCAAACAGTAGACTGTTCAGCAACCAGTGTAGTGACTTGCTACTCAAACAGTAGACTGTTCAGCAACCAGTGTTGTGACTTGCTACTCAAACAGTAGACCGTTCAACAACCAGTGTTGTTGCAAACTACCCAAGCAGTAGACTGTTCAGCAATATGAGTTGTAGGCTGGGTTGTTGGGGGCAGAGATGAGCAGTGGAGTGGAGACAATCAACGGTAACTGATATGTAAGCCGTGCGTGCACTAGCAGTTTAAATCTATTCAGTCGTACGTACAACCTTAGTTTAATGTCTATGGTTAACCGGCGTAAACTATCTGGTGGAATTATCTATCAATGTAGTTGCTATCACTGGCCCTCATCGCTCCCTCTACTGAAGTGCCTAGTTTGGCAAAATGCCTTTCTACATGGTTATCGTCTTGACTACTGCTCTATTCAATCCGACGTTAAACTACGTTTTATCAAGGCAATCGGCAATACGTTATATTTGTTCATCGAAAAATAATAGTTGTCCACCGGGAGCACAGCCCTTCTGACACTCTGGGTAATGCAGAAGGCTGCAGTATTGGGGTGTCTACATATTATCCGGGAAGTTCTTGGTGGGTTCGACTAGGCAGTGTTTCCTAGGAGAAGCCCCATTCGCTGGCTGGCCTGCGTGTAGAGGGGGCGAGGGCCCTGAGCTGATGATGAGCCTTACCAGCCTGACTGTGCCAGGATCTCACGAACCCTTTCTGCTTCATTTGTAATCTTAATCTGTAAAACAGAGTATGTCTTAGCATTCTCATGGGCTCCGTAGGGGTGGGTATATTACTCTTTGATGACTGTTTTGATACCATGGGCATGACATAGATACATTATCCAGGGGTAACGTTTGTTGTTGTTTACGTAGTTGAGTCTCCGCGAGATATCCGTGTTATTGTAGATGACATTATAAGTCGACATTGTGAACCGCGCTGAGATAGCGACAGGGTCCCTGGATGTTGATCAGATTGTACATATCACACAACAATACCTGTAGAGAACACACCTTGGTACCCATGTCACTGGCGTCTGACGTAACGTGTGCATGGGTAGCCAGCTATTCTGCCCTGGTACCCCGAGGATGGCGGCCTGAAGATTAATATAACTGTTTATGTTGCACACATAAATCCCCAAATCCCCAGATAAGCGGTCAAGACCCTACGCCCTACATTATTCACACGTGGAACACGTCACTGTTTTATAAATCATGTTCACCTTTACAATGTTACACAAACTTAACATGTACAGACGCGTATAAATCCGAAAACAGCACCCCTGTTTAAAGTTCTACTGAAGTAAAGGTCGTAAATTAACATTTATGAAGACTTCAACTTTCCAAACGATTGGTAATAGTGTCCTGAT